CCCCCCCCCCCCCCCCCCCCCCCCCGCGACATGTTCTCTTGCTTGGCTCTCTCTTTGGGGCGCCTCTGCCACTCCCCTCTCTCGTAAACCCGGTCCCCTGATGTCTTGGGTGCGGGCGTGGGTGTGGGTGTGGTGTGGGCGTGTTCATCCATGTATGTGTGTGTGTGTGTGTGTGTGTGTCTGTGTATGTATTCTGGAGGGCAACCTAAACAAGCTACATACATATCCAACTGTCCCTCCCGCCCGCCACGCCACTACCCGTTGTCGCGGCTGGTCTGTTTCTATTGTACGCTTCCGGCTTCCCATCGACCGTTGTACGCTTTCCCCCCTCCACTCCTCGAGCCCGGACCAGCACGTGTGCGCCTTACTCCCCCTTGTCGGACGCACCGCATACCACCAGCATCATACCCGTCTTCCTCCCTGGGCGATCCGCGAAGAGCTGAACGAGAACAGCGCCACACGCCTGCACGCCCGGATCACAGGACCGACCCAGACCACACCCCGAGGCAGTCTTTGTCTCTGGTCTTTGGCAAACCCCTCCCCGACTCTGGCCCTCCGCTATCATTTCTATCTTTACTGGCTGTTTTTGTTCTTGTTGACGAAACGAGACCTGGCATGCTGTAGCTTGTCCTCGCCTCCTGAAGCAGGGTTTGGGATATACGTCTGAAGCAGGGCGGAGAAAGAGAAGGCTCAAAGCAAAGGCGGAAAGAGAGAGTGTGCGTGGCAGCTGCGCCCGCCTGTCGACCTTTTTATCCGGCGTGCATATCTAGTGGGCATCGCCCGGACCTGGCCAGTCTCTTGAAAGGCACCGCGTCCCCATATCATATCCAACGTCCGTTAGCTGCACTTTTGCCCGGCTCGTTCAGACGACAAACCCCACCGACAAACAAACGAACCAGACTTGGGACGAAGGGCCATCTGTGCCAGTTCGCCCAGCAAAAACACCAACAAAGGCAGGGCTGCGCCGAGAGCCACCAAAGCCGTGGCTCCCTTCACCGTGCCTCCTCCTCCAACAACACCGCCGGGACATGACAGTTCCTGTTTCCCCCAACGCACCATAACACCGCTCTCAATGGGGATTCTAACCTGCCTCGACTCCCGACCTCGCCTGGCCTTCCCGGGCACGCCGCCAGAGCTGGTGAGCCCGAGCTCGTCGACCTACTCCTCGAGACCGTCCGAGGCCGCTCTGCCGTCACCACCACCCATGTCCAGCTATGAGCAGCCGACGGCCGAGCTGCTTCGCGGGAAGAGCCCCGAGGACTCGAGGCAATCTCCCCGGGAGCAGCAGCAGCGGCAGCAGCAGCAGCAGCAGCAACTACCGCAGCCGCCCCAACAACAACAACAACCACAGCAGCAGGAGCGTCAAGTGCTCCCGCCCCTAAGCAGCATTCTAACCCTCACCCAGGACGGACGGCCCCTGCACTCGCCCGTGTCCGAGGGCCGCCGCGCCTACTCGGCCACCGCGTCCCCGCTGGATAGGCCACACACCTCCAGCGCGTCCTCGTCGTCCTACTTCCCCTCCTCGGCCGCCACCGCCGCCGCCGCCGCCGCCGCCCCGCTGCCGCGCCTTAGGGCGGGGCCGTTCGAGCCGAGGTTAGACGAGCGGCCGTCGCTCTTCCAGCCGCTGTCGAGGGATCCGTTCCCGCGCCCGCCGCTGTCGCCCCAGTCCCGCGACGGGGAGCCCACGCATCAGCAGCAGCAGCAGCAGTACCGGCCATCGTCCGCGGCCGACAGGGGCTCAGACTACGGCCCGCCGCCGCCGCTGCCCGCTCTGCACCAACGGGGCGAGTACTCGCCGCACTCGGGCCGGGCGCAGTTGGAGCGGTACCCGGCGCCGCTGACGGGCGTCAAGCGGGAGGCGGACCAGATGAGCGGCCACCACCATCACCACCACCACTACCAGCAGCAGCAGCACACCCAGCAGCTTCAGCGCGCCCCGTCCATCCACCACCACCACCACCACGCCGCGCCGCCTCCTCCTCCTCCGCCGACTCCTCCCGCGGGCGCCATGGTGGTGGTGGTAGCGTCGTCGTCGTCGTCGTCGTCGTCGTCGAGCGAGGGCGGCATGCCGTCCAAGGACGGGCTGGGCCCCAAGATCTGGACGGGCACGCACTTCCTGCCGCGGTTCGTGCGCGCGGCCGAGGTGCCCGGCGAGGGCACGTGCTACTTCTACGACGACGGCAGCCACTGCAAGGCCGTCATCGACGGCGAGCAGGTCAACGCGCACTGGGGCGTCACAAAGGCCGGCAAGCCCCGCAAGCGGCTGGCCATCGCGTGCATCACCTGCAGGGAGAAGAAGATCAAGTGCGACCCGGACTACCCGCGCTGCGTGCAGTGCGAGAAGTTTGGGCGCGTGTGCAAGTTTAAGAATGCGTGAGTTTTTTTTTTTTTGTTGTTGTTGTTGTGTCTGTTGTACCTACATGACTCGTTGATACTGACTGTTTATATCTCTCCCCCCCCTGATAGTCCCCCGTGGCGGCAACAACACCTCCCCATCAACTCCCCCCGCCGAGATGGACGAGTCGAGGCGCCTGGGCGGCAGCATGGTGAGGCCGCCGCCCGTCATGGACGGGCCCCGGCCGGGCAGCAACTCGAGCGCCTCGGTCTCGCCGCGGACCGTGCTGAGGCCCGCGTCGCCCGACATGATGAACCCGACCCCCGCCAAGCGCCCGCGCCTCGGCGGCTTCGGCGACCACGGCTACAGCCACCACAGCCACCAGCAGCAGCAGCCCCAAGCGCCGCCCTCGTACTCGCACTACACCCACGCGCCCCAGCAGCACCCGCCGTCGCCCTACTCGCACCACCCTTACCCGCCGCCGCCCCAGCAGCAGCAGCAGCAGCACCAGGCCGAGAGGCGGCGGTCGCCCGTCATGCTCCCCCTGCCGCTGCCCGTGCCGCAGCTCCAGCGCGACCCGAGGGACGGCGGCGGCGCAAAGCCCGACTGGCACCATCGCCAGCACCAGCAGCGGCACGACCTCCCCCGCATCCACGATGACCCCCGCCGCGGCTGGCAAACAGACTCGTATGTGCACGACCCTCAGCCCCGCATCCAGCACCCACACCAGCACCAGCACCAGCACACGTATCACCACCGGCACAGCCACCATGACAACATCCCCCGCTCGCCCGCGTCGCATGAGCTGCCCCCGCTCTCCGCCTCGGCGGCCCCCGCGCGCGACGGCCGTCAGGGCCTGGACGCGCCCGTGGTCGGCGGTGGTGGTGGTGTGGATGGGCAGGCCCAGCGGCCGCACCGTCACTCCCACTAGACAGAGGGAATCTTGGAAGCAAGGCGAGAATTAAAAAGGCTCACAAAACGCGAATCCAAAAGATACGAATCCAGAAGACTCGATGCTCGCGCATAGCGGACCTGGCCTGGACGCTCCCGAAGAATTCTGTTCCCAAAACAGTGGCTTGGAGAAGAGCCTACGAGAAACAATAAGAAAAAAATCACGAAACAAAAAAAAATCCGAACAAGACGCGACGTCAATGGACGACCTCGGCGACGAACTGGGGCTTCCTCTCTGATCTCTCACAACGTCTCCGAAACGGGCAACCGCCCCCTCTCCTCATTTCCTTACCATCTTGTCTCCATTGTTCTCTATCATGCGAAGCATTTATGCCTTTTTGGCCACAAAAAAGGGTGGATTGCATTCATCCCGGCGTTGGTTTACTATTTTATGCCTGGAACTATTTTCTCTCTGTTTCCCGTCTTCGTTTCCCTGTCGATATTTATCACGTCACTATTTCTTTACACGGTTAATGAGGCGACAGCGTAGGGATGGCACCCCTGAGTCTTGGGGGGACCGGGCGAGACTTTGTGGGAATCGGGCGGGCGTCTTTGTGGGAAGGGAATGGGACGGAGATGGCATGTTTTTTTTATTTATTTTTTATCTCTCTCTTTTTCTCTGACTTTTCTTCCACTGCGGACGGATTCCACATGGAGCGGTGGGCGGCTCATGCCTACCTGGTGTCTGTGTAATATTTAGTATATATATATATACCCTGTACATTAGCAAACCACCCGCAGCTGCGGCGAACGACAGCATGGCGCTTTGAACATCATCTTGTTCCCCCCCTTGGATCTTGTCCCTGGCCTGGTGATGACGAGGTGGCCGATGAGAAGCGTGTTTAGCCGTCCAGATACGTGCGTACACAGTGGCACCCCAAGCACCTGCCTCGGCAAACCCCCAACAGGTTCCCCCACCTTGGGCAGTACAAGGGCGGCTGGTTCAGCAGCTTGCTCCGCATCTTGTCGTTCCTGCGGCTCCGCCCGACCAGCTCCCAGAGTGGGGGGGACGGACGGCAGCCCGAGCTCGAGTCTTGTGTGCTCCGCTCCCGGAAAAGCCGAGCCTGTCTCTGGGCCGCCTTGCGGGTGGCTGGGTCCCAATGTGGCGCCTTGGCGAGTGTGTGTGTGGCTTTGACTTTCACCCCGCCAGCTCCAATGGCTGGCCCACGATTGACATGACGGGGGAGCCGTTAGGATAGCCCCTGGAAATTGCGCCGCAGCACACAGCGGCGAGCTCCCCTCGTCGCAGGTCGGCAAAAGCTGGCCCTCCCGAATCCTTTGACATCTGCTGTCTGACGGCTCAGCAATCTCCAGATCTTGTTGCGCATGTCATTTAGCTTTTTTCTTTTGCTTTTTTGTCGTTGTTGCAGTTTCTTGATCCTTTGCGACGCTTATGTTATCCTCCCCCTTTTCCTCCTGGCCTCCCTCCTGCGACACTGCGTCCCCGCTGACGGGCCTGTCCGCCAAGCTTTCATCTGCGGACAGCTTGCTTCTCCGCCTATACCCATCCCATCGCGAACCGGCCCGCGCGCACCCATCGATCGAGTACACAGTAAACCTAAGCTAGCAGTCTCATACGCATTTTCTTATACCAATTGCATCACGGCTGTTCTCTAGGATCTACCCTACATCTTTTCTTTTTTTGTATACGCCATCCTGCGACCTTCTTCCTTGGATACCTCAGCCACATTTGTCATAGGAACGTACACGAGAACGAACCGATACTACGCAACCTTGGATCCCCGCGCGCGCGCGCGCGTCCCGCTGGCATGGGCTTCTTCAGCGCCTTGGCGGCAAATGCCGCTCCCATATTCCTTACCGTCTCGCCCATCTTGTCATACAGTGACCAGGCGTGGTCGATGCACAAGGCGAGGTCGAGCGCCGGGTTTTCACTGGATATTCCTCTCATTTTGATAGTGGCTTCCTTGCTTAGGTGAGTTTCCACTTGGCCCCTCCATATGACTGAGTGTTTTTTTTGTCACTGACGGGGGAGGACACGGTGGGGGTTGCCGTACAGGATATTCTACTACCCCGGCGCCCAGTTCGACCAAGCCCTGCTCGTACAGGCCGTCACAATGGTGGCCATGCAGACGATCCTGCTCAAGGTCGCACTGGACCACCGGCCCGGCCCCTCCCACAAGGGCGGCGACGCCGCGGCGCCCTTTGCCAGCTCGCAGGGCGGCGCGCTGCAAGACTTCAAGCGCCCGTACAACTTTTGGCAGTGGCGGTCTCACAAGCCGTACTGGCAGTTCATACTGTACCTGTTCATCGGCCTGACCATCCTCGAGCTCCTCCTCGCGCCGCTCCACTCCGTATACGCTCTCTACTCGCCTCTGGTCGGCTACCTCGGCCTGGCCGCCGAGGCCACGGTGCCGTTCCCGCAGATGTACGCCAACGCCCGCACCCGGTCGTGCAGGGGGTTCCGGCCCTCCATCATCGTCAGCTGGATCATGGGCGACTGCATGAAGATGTGCTGGTTCTTCACCTCGCCCACCGAGATCCCCGTGGCCTTCAAGGTCTGCGGCGTGTTCCAGGCCGCGTGCGACCTCTTCCTGGGCATGCAGTATCTCCAGTACGGCACCGGGGGCCCGGAGCCGTCCTCGAAGCGGGCCGTCGGGCTCGGGCTCGACGACGGCCACGGCCACGGCCACGGCCACGGCCACGACCACCATCACCAGGGCCATCAGATGCAGCACCTCGCCCCCAACTATGGCTACGGCGGCGGGAGCAGCTTCAAGTCGCCCAACGGACAGCTCGCGGCCGGGTTCGGGGAACCTGCGACGGGTCGTCGGACGCCCAACCCGGACAAGGGCATGCTGGACTGAGCCAACACGCCAACCCTTATCGGGTGAAGGAATCATTGGAGTCGTCCGGAGAATATGCCGCGTCGAGGAACGGAGCTTATGATCGATACCACGGCTCAGTCCCGTTCCTGTGCCGCCATCACAGCCGAGCCGATCGATTTCCTGGGGGAGCCATCCCGTGGCCATGTGGCAACTGCATGGGTAATCCCGAACCAGCACTAGCGGTGGAGCTTTTTGGCCTGTCGCTAGAATCTGTTTCTATGCCCTTTTGGGCGCCCATGACGCGAGGCCGCCGGGCTGGGGCTGGAGATTGGCCGTGTCTTGGAGTGAAGCAGAGTTAGCGGGTACTTCCAGCCTCCTGCACAAATCACGCGGCCGTGCAGTTAGAAGATACTAGAACATAAAATAAATAGATAGAATAGTAACATGAGCTTTGGTGATTTTTTTGCGAGTCTGCTTTTATGCAATTTCGGCTTTTGCTGGTCATTGTTGGCGTGGATTGAGATGCTGCCTGACGTATCGCGCTATCTGGCACTCACCCGCTCCCCCAGCGCGCTCCCGCAATCTGCCCTTGCACCCACGAGAACCCAACCAGAAACCTCTCCCACCACTCGGGATCAGCATTCGCTTCTTTTTCTGCTCCCCTTCCCTCCTTTGTTTGAGCTCGCGGGAAAATTAATATTCTCTCTAAATTTTTTGTTTCGCGCGCGTCACCTTCGGGTTTAATCGTACGTCAAGCCTCGCTGTAAGCCCCAACGCCTCGACGACATCTCCAACCTCCCATCTCGCGCGTCCATCCAGGTATTTGCGGCTTTGGTTCCCAGGTGAGCTTGCCCTTTAGTAGATACGATGTTTTTTTTCATTTGTTTTTTTTTTTCATTACTTGTCCGTTACCTTTTCGCTGGCGAAATCTCCACGCCTATCATCTTCCTCTGGTTGCCAGACTTAGACGAGCGCCCGCCCCACTTCTTCGCTCCTGCCCGCCCCCTCCCTCTCCTCCCCCACGTAGCCTTGCATATATTTCCTCCCAGATCGTGACCTCGGACTCCCAAAACTCTTACCTCTCACCTTTCCTTCTTCATCTCTCAACTTCTCTATTTTACATATCGGCTTTCTTTCGTTGCCTCTCGGCTTCCCTTCCTTACCTTGGACATCCTCACACTTCTCATCTTCCATCCCTCACCTCTCATCTCCGAACAGCCCTCCTCCTGCCTCACCACTCCCGACAGACTTGCCTACACTCCTTCAACCACCCCGCCAGCGGCATCTCCAGATCAGCCAGCCCTCCCTTCTTGACTTCATTCAGCCACTCGGTCAGCGGCATCTACAGCTCACCCAGTCCATCCTGCAAGTTACCGGAAGCGATATATATATATATCTTCCTCCACACTCGGCGCGCAATCACGCTTGATTGCTCTACTAACCGCTTCTTTGATGCCAATAGCAAGACGACGTCTTGTTCATACCAGCAGTGGTGATACCTGGCGTACAGGAAGCGAGCAAGACTTCTAGGCAACGCGCTCAGCCTCCCCTCTCTCACGACATCTCCCCGTCTTCCATTCTCTTCTGCAAGTTTCCCCCTCCCACATCTGCCCCAGCCCAGACTGCCTCGACCTGCGCGACCGCGCGCTCGCCATGCCAGACCATCCTGCTGACAACCATCTCAGGGAATACCACCATCAACAATGGCTCCCTCCAACTTTAAGACCTACGAGGCGCAGTCCCGGCTGCTCGCGGCGGTCCTTGCCAGCGCGCCGGGTCTGAAGTTGGACTTCAAAGGTACGTAAACCACCCGGCGTCAGCTTTCCATGGCTTCCTGCCCCGCTTCCTATCATCACTTCCTTTCTGGGTTTGTACCCAAGAGTAGCCCCTGTGGTTGATTCATCTCGCCTGCCCCACCCCGCGACATGCACATCTACTCTCTTTCAGTTGCTTCGATAACCTGAGACCCTGACCTCTCCCATCCATCCAGCCATAGTAAGGTACTATGGCTCAGACACGACAGCGTCTGGCCTGGAGCATCGCTTTCGGCCGATTAAGAAGCAAGTGGCTGCCATTCGTGATGCTGCCGCCAAAGGGCAAGACGTAAAGGACATGCAGGATATCTTCTTTATGAACGAAAAGGGTAAAGTTTCCTCTTCGCGCGCGTGTTTTTCACCAGGCCAAGTTGTCTAGGTTTTCGGGTCCTTTTCCCTTCAACTCGATATCTCTTGCTTCACTTTGTACCCCCCCAAACATGTAACCGCCTCACTGTTTTCTTCCCCTTCATGTACCCCATTTCACCCTTCTGTGGCTGGTGGGCTTGTATATCGGCGCCCTGTCGATCCTGTCACCGGCTGATACTGACTAATCTCCTCCCTCGTCTTGCCTTGACTTCACTTTTTATACAGAAATCCAGAAACACTATGGCGAGAGCACCGCTCAGGGACTGGAGTTCCAGTTCCGCAGCGTCAAGAGGGACGCCAAGGCGCTCAAGGACGCCGTCGCCAGGGGCGAGAACCCCGTCACCGCCGTTGGCAGGCCGGGCCCCTCCACCCCAAGCAAGCGCAAGGCGGCCGCCGCCACCCCCAGGACGGGCGGCAGCACCACCGCCAAGCGCCAGCGCAAGAAGGGTCCCGGCAGCTCCGACGACGACGATAAGGAAGTCGACTACGAGGCCATGGACGTCAAGACCCCGACGAAGCCCAAAGCCAAGGCCAACGCCGCCAACGGCCCCACCGCGGCGTCGGCCGGCAAACTGTCCGAGAGCGTCTCTTTCGACGACAGCATGAATGGCACTGATGATCCCATCGTCCTAGATGAGGATGAGGACGATCCCCTCAAGGACGAGCCCGAGCAGCCTTACGTGAAGCTTGAGAATGATCCTCTGCTGTCGCAGGGTTTCGATGAAGACTGGGACGAGATGACCGAGGGTGTCGTCTAAGCGTCTCGTCACCCCCCCGCCGACTACCCTAATCTCCTTGACGCCATCAGTATGACCGGAGAACAGAGAGGAATATCTCTTCCTGGGTAAGTGTTTCCGCCGTCGCTTCTCTCCCCCCTCCTGTTTGCCAGAAGCTCACGGGCCCGTGAGCTGGTGGCAGCCCGCTATAATGTGTGGGATTTTGACTGAACTTTTCAGCCTAGCTCATCTACCCATCCGGTGGCCCAAGTATTAGTGACAACAGCGCTTGGAGTCACAAAAAGGATTGTCGTCGGGCCCGGATATGAGAGGACCACCCAGCAGCATCCTTATCCTTCTTCATCACCTCTGGGTCTTCTCTCTTCACGTTTTATTATCTTTTATCGTCTGGGAGGAGCAGGAGGGAAAATGGACATTGGACACCTTGGGAATTGCGACTCGTCTGGACTCGCATCACCCAACACCACCATATCATTACCCCCTCCCCCACAGTTGCCTCTCGCTTGAGATATCGGCGTCGAGCACATAGCACAGCCACCCTTCATACTCGATGAACTTGTCTCTAGAGACCAGCAAAAGTTCTATATTCAATAAACCAGGTGCACTTTTCATGTCTGGAACATGCATGTGGTGTTCAACTCTGAGATGGCAGTCTATAAGAAACCCACGGGAGATGACTCTTGTCGTTGGGATCAGTGAGCGGCATCGATACACGGTAAGCTGGTCACGCACTGAGTGGATCACATCTCAATATGAATACAGGGATCTTCTTGGAAAGGGACGTTTTCGTTGTGGGAAAAGGTTGTGCTCCAAAAGACCTTATCCCCACACAGGCCTTGGAAAAGTCAACCTCTAAAAGTGAAAGGTAAGGAACCCTAATTTACGCCCAATTCTTCTCTCCCAGGTTTCACGCCCGAAACTTCCCTGGCATATGCGCTGAGTAAGAACCGCATGAACCATCCTCAATTTTCCTCCCGAGACTCAAGAAAAAACAGGGTCCGTCTCCTGGCTCAAAGTCACTCTCGCTTTATCAGCAGATCCCACAGCGCATCGGGCTCGACATAGTCGTGGTGGATGATGTTGACGAGCCACAGGTCGGCACGGAGCGACTCGAGCAGCGTCTCGCTGGGCGAGCCTTTACCATAGACCTTTGCCCACTCGGCCCAGATGCCAAAGGCCTCCTCGCTCCAGGCCCGGAAGCTGACCTCCTCGATGATGGTCGGCGTCACGATCTCCTTGCCTGGGAAGACGCCCCAGGTGACGGCGTTGGTGCCCGCCGCCTTGGCCTGGCCGTGGAGCCCGCCGGTGCTGTCCGACGAGACGAAGTCGCCGGCCGCGTTGCTGGCGTAGAAGCAGACCGAGTCACTGGTCCCGGGTTGCGACAGCCTCTCGCGCAGGACCACCCAGTCGGCGCTCGGGATGAAGAGCTCGACAAAGGCCTTTTGGAACACGAAGCCATGCGTGGGGCCCCAGCCAAAGGTAGGGTTGTCTGACTTGAGGCCGTTGACGGCCGGCTGGCTGGCGACGGTCCACCAGCCGCGCTCGTTGAGGGCCAGGAGCGGGGGGCGGATCGTGTCTGTCTCCGGGTTGAACTCCTCCTCGCTCCAGGGGATGGCCCTGAGCTCGCCGCTCAGGTGGCGCATGAATAGGGCGCTGACGTCGCGCACCGAGGCCGGGCGGCCCCAGAGCTCGACGGCCTGGGTGCCCGACATGTGCAGGCTGACGCCGTAGCCGTCGATCTCGCCGTAGGCGGGCGAGCGCGCGTCTCCCCAGCGGCCGTTGGGAAAGTCGTCCCACGTCGCCTCGCGGCCGAGCACGCCCTCTCCCTCGGAGATGGCGAGGGTGTTCGCGCGGCTGTTGATGGGCTCGGCCGGCACGCTAGCCTCGAGGGCCGTTGCCTCGTAGTCCGGGTGTGAAGCTGGGCGGCCGCTGACGATGACGCGGTTTCGGGGGTCTGAGCCGATGGAAGACTGTCTCCTTGATGACAAGGAGTGGACGCCCTGTATCGAGTGGCTCGGCGTGGCGCCGTTGACGTGGATCGCCGGCACGCCCAGCAGCGACGATGGCGCAGCCGAGGCATCGTCCGCCACGATCGCCGCCTCATCCGCAAACACTGCCTCGTCCTCACCGGGGTCGCTGGATGGGATCAGATGGGTGCGTTCTACAATGAAGGAGACGGCCTTCTCCAGGTTCAGAGTGTAAAAATGGAAGCCCTGCGGGCCCGGTGTTCTGCTCTTGACCTCCTTGACCTTCTCCACCAGTTCACTGACGATGTCTACGCCGACCTTCTTAACCTGTTCGTCATCTTTCTTTACGGCGTCCAGCCTGACCATAAGAGAGTCTGGAATCCCGGCGTGGCTGAGCTTGGTCGTTCGCTTGATCATCTGATAGTTCTGGATGGGCATCAGGCCGGGGATGATAGGGATTGTGGCAAAGGCTCCGCTGGGGTGCTCTCTTAGTGTCCTCTCGAATTTGTCGTAGGCGTCTATGTCAAAGAACAGTTGCGTCATGATGAAATCCGCACCGGCCTGGGTCTTCTCGATCAAGTATGGGAGGTCATGCTCCAGGCTCTGGTTGGTAGGGTGGCTCTCGTCGGCATGGCCCTCTGGATAGGCGGCCACACCTATACAGAAGTAGTCCCCGTGTCTCTGCTTTATGTAGCGGACAAGATCGGCAGCCCAGGTGAAAGCGGTGTCGGCAGGCTCGGAGTCTTCGGGCTCGCCGTACTCGCCAGGTCTTGGAGGGTCACCCCTCAGGGCGAGGATGTTGCGGATTCCAAGGGCGCGCGCATCATCCAGGGCCTTATCCAGCAGTTTGCGGCTCATGTTGGTACAGGTGAGGTGTAGGCAAGTGGTTAGAGCTAGCTCGCGCTGGCATATCTCTGCCAGCTCGAGCGACTTCTGCGAAGTGGAACCGCCAGCACCCCAGGTCACGTTGACAAAAAGGGGCCGGAGAGCCCGAGCCATGCGGTCGAGTCGGTCTCGTAGGTTAGAAAAGCCCATGGCCGTCTTGGGTGGGAAAAACTCGAGCGAGAAGTAGGTGGCATCGGCGGGCAGCGCCGCTATCTTGTCCGTTATCTTGTCCATGGCTGCTGCTCAGGCCTCACGGCTGGTAGGGGGCAGGCCGAGCAAGAAGTGGTAAGGAGAAGGGAAAGAAAGATGGTGAAAGATAAGGCAAAGCGCCTAGCAGTGGCCGCGTTAGAATGAATGCCTACGTAGCTGTAGGGGAAGGGGCTCTTACTTGGGTAGTGAGAAATGAACGTCCTCATCAGTTAAATAACTATCTTGGGCATGCCCCTGCGGGTCGCGAATTCGATCGGCAGTTGGATAAGTGGATGCTTGCAGCTGTGTCTTCTGGAGAGGAAGGGAGCTGAGCAGTGTATATCCGAGTCACGAGGCCGTAATGGAAATGGGAAGGCGGGGTAAGCTAGCGATGGGCCTCGACGAGACGGTTTGGGTATCAACGGATTTTCACGGAAAATAAGAACAATAGAGACGGTGCTGGATGGTCTAAGTAAGTTGGATAGTTGGATAGCTGGAGAGCAAGGTAGAAAGAAAAATAATAAGATTGCGTCGAAGAGAATGAATCGTCCCGGATGATCAAATGGCCACGTCTAGAGTTTCCCGCCAGTGTACGAGAATGCACATGAGGTATAAAAAGTTCTGCCCGCTGAGGGGGCAAGTGCAGGCCCAAGGCCGATCCCGCCCGCCCTGACGTCGGTCGGCACTTGCCTAGGTTGCCATCCCCTAGCGCTACCCGCCCACACGATTACCGCATAGGTAGCACCACATCAGTGGCTCAGGTGGTTGCATTCACCCATAGCAAGCCCTGGCTCACGAAATGCAACTGCTCCGTCACACTTGGATCTCATGTCCCACCCGCATCAATCATTTACAGATATACACGCGTAGATGTTACCCATAATTCCTTCAGAGGGATATGCATGAAGCACCCAGCTCAGCACCTGGCACCAAAAGACTGACGTCTGCGAGCCCGATATCCCGGAATGGGCCCTGAAGGAATAAAGTCAGCCTGTGAGCTACATAGCATGAGATGGCCCGATTTTCATACACGGGTCCTGTTCAGACAAATAATGAATAGCCTTTTGAGCATCCTCAAGCGCGACCTATAGCTTATGGGCTTGCCGGGAAGCCCGACCGCCCACAAGCTCGGCTGCGTCGGTTTACCAGAATAATGTCATCACTACAGGTCCGTGATCCTGGCCGACAGAGTAGATGGAACTGGGGTTAGGGAGGTGGCCGCTTACCTCGAAGGGCTGTAGCCATACGGCAGACAGAGCAAGGCGTTCACCTAGGACAAACACATGGGTCACTGTTGAGCATGTTTTCTGTATCGACCATAAGATACACGGCGCGCCGTCGGGCCACGCTAAGACATGCTACAATCCGATTTTGCGACGGGTGTTCGGCAGACGCGTGTGCAGGCGCATGTGTGCTAACAGAGCAGTCGATACATCTGCGAGCAAACATTGCGACTGGAAGAAATGTCCGGATCTTGTGTCAGGTCATCATCGGCTCATGGTGGCCGCGCAAATGGGGCCCTCGTGATGATGGTTTTAAACAAGGGCAATTTAGAGGAGTTAATCTCGACACACCGATCCGGTCGTCAGCGCCATCGAGAGAGCGTATTGCTTGCTGGCAGGCTGTCGATCTTTTGTCAAGGATCTGCGTGGTCGTTTGTGAAAGAAAAGAAGAAAAAAGTCTAAGAAGAAAATTTGGCGACCTATGTTTTGGGGACTGGGGCCCCAGCGCAAGCCACAATGGGTCCCCACCGGCAGTTGGCGCAGTCAAAATTTTCTGCCCAGAAAGCCAGCCAGAGGATGAAAATGAAGAAAATGGGAAAAAGGCTGGGGCGATGGGGCTCACCGCCTGCGACGTTGGCCGTTGGGCCAATGACGAACGAATCAGGACCCAGTAGCAGAAGCGCTGCATCACAACGGGCACAGGCGCCTTGGGTCTGTAGCACAGTGCACGAGCCGCAGCGTCAGTGAGGTGGTGCGGCACTCGTCAAGCGCAGCCAGCGCGGGTGCTCCAGCCTGCTGGCTCCAATCTGCAGTGGACGGGGAGCGCTAGCGCTAATGGATCCGGCGAAGCCACACAGCAGCCAAATCCACCATGCAGACTGCAAACCTGGAAACAGAAAAATTGTCCCGACGAAATCTCGCCGCAAACATCAAACAACCACCACATCCAAACCGCTCTCGCCCACTGCACTTCTCGCCTCTTGCGCCTCGCAGACGATACCCCTCCGTAAACCCGTAAACCAAAGAATTGGACCCTCTTTGCGCCATCAGCCCTAGGTTTCAGACTAGTCCCCGCCAAACGCCAGAGACCACACTTTTACATCACTACAAGCAACTTGCCGCTGTCGATTGTCACCGCTACGACCCGCCCTCGAATTTGGCTGTATCCTGCTTTTGACCTGGTTTTGGGGCTTGCGAAACTTGTCACACCAATCTCGAACACGCTCGCTCTCGATCGGCTCACGAACATCATCTGCCTGCCCACCTGGCTCTCCTCTCTTTCTGCCAGCCCAAAGCCCCAAGCGCCGACAACAGCCGCACCACGAGCGCCTCGCATCGGACCACGCCTAGCCCGAGAGCCGACTGCAACTGCGCCGTCGCCCACGTCTCGAGCGTCCGCAAGCGACCTCTTGCCGAGTCGAGACGGAGACTCGATTGACAAACAAGCGCCTCGTGTTTGGAGCAAAGTCGGCGGCGCCCCCTCCCCGCGTGATCAAAAATCACACACTCTCTCCTTGGACTTTCGCCAGAGAGCAGCCGCTCCCGGCCCTCCACCCTTCCTTCAGTCTCTATGGATAACCTCTGGAGTCGTCGCACCAAGTATGTTGTCCCAAGGTCGTCCGACCCTGTTCCCCGCAAAGAGGCGCAGACCCTGTCCCGCGTCCTCGCGCCCTGATGGCTGTGAATTTGCTCATCCCCGGCAATTCTCCTCCCCCTCTCCACCCAATACACTCGCGCCCGCACCCACCTCGTTGCCACCCCTTCGACCCTCATTGCTGACCCGGACGGCCAACACGTTTCAGCTCTAGCAAGCTCTCCTTATCCACAACAGGCGCCGGCCCTAGCGACTCCGCCTCCGCCCCCAACAGCTCCATCAACAACACCCGTAATGCATCCTTCTCTAGACGACTGGGCGGTGATAGCTCGGCGCATGGGAAGGGTCCGGCCCCGTACAACTCGGCCGTGACTCCCGGCGGCGGGCTCATGTCGCCCGGCGCTACTGCTGGTGGCGGCGCGAGCAGCGCCTTCGGCCTAGGGTCCGGCGCCTTTGCGTCTTTTGGCTCCGCCAAGACGCCCAAGTCGCCGGGCAACCCCTTCGAATTCGCCATGAGCGGTGGCCTGGGGAACCCTAAGACACCGGGCGCGGAGAAGGGTCCCAAGGACGGTGGTCTGGGGAGCGTCGGCGGTGGCAAGCCGGGCGCTTCGGCCAAGGGCGGCTCGCTGGCGTCGGCGTCGGCATCTGCCTCGACAGCCTCGATAGGGCCGGTGCGCCACACCCTCCGCACTCCTTGGGTCTTTTGGTTCCGGCCGCCTATCAGCAAGGCCAACGGCTACATCGAGTACGAGAAGACGCTGCATGCCATGGCCGAGGTGGGCACTGCCGAGGACTTCTTCTCGGTGTATGCGCACCTCAAGCGTCCCTCGGCCCTGCCGCTCGTGTCCGACTACCACCTGTTCCGCAAGGGCGTGCGGCCCATCTGGGAGGATGACGAGAACCGCAGGGGTGGCAAGTGGATCGTGCGCCTTAAGAAGGGCGTTGCGGACCGCTACTGGGAGGACCTCCTGTTCGCCATAGTCGGCGACCAGTTCTCCGACGCCAGCGAGGAGGTCTGCGGCGCCGTCCTCAGTGTGCGCAACGGTGAGGATATCCTCAGCGTCTGGGTTCGGAGGGACGGCGGCAAAGTGGTCAAGATTCGGTATGTGTTTCGCAGTGACATTGCCTCCGCACGCAGCTGAGTTCGCCGCTCACAATGCTAACCAAATGCTTTACTTGCCCTAGCGAAACGCTGAAACGAGTGGTTGGCTTCCCTCCCGATACAAAGGTTGAGTGGAAGAGCCATGAGGGCTCGATCCAGCAACGCTCCGCGTTGGACGAGGTCCGACGCGAGCGGGCGGCGAACAACTCGGACAAGCGCACTAAGCATGCCCAGTTCGCCGGCAACGACGACCAGAAGCAACAGGGCTACGGCGGCGGCGCCGGTGCCTCATGATAGGCGGAGTGCAAGCAGCGGGCCTCATCTCATCTTTGCCATCTTCTCTCGCAAACCATCACTCTCGAGCAGCGTCTATAAAGTGCTGTCGGTTCGATAAGATGATCAGGCAGCATGCATGGCACGCATGCACTCCCTCATTGTTTAGGCCGCAGGAGCCTGGCTAGACTTGGGGTCCGCGGCCGAGCACTCGAGAGACGAAAAGCAAAAATAAGAGAAAGGATGGGCTTTGCACGTTTTCGCGGCAAGGTACCCCGCCCATTTTATGTACACTACGAGATATCATTCTGGCCCTTTCTTGAATCACTGTTCCGCAGTCCAAGCCGAGGGAGAATCAGCACGTCTGCCAGAGTTCTCTTTTTTCTTTATCCGCTACGTGGTGCGCGACCATGAAGTGTCCTTTTTCCTCTTCCTTTTCTCTTCTCCTATCTTTTATCTCTTTATTTGACGATCACGGGGCAAGTATCCGGTACGACATTGCATGGTATACGACGCTAGGGAGGGTATTATCGGTTGGTCATTTGACAGCGGCTTGCTACTTGGTTCTCACGTTCACATCTGGGTTCAATCTTTTTTTTTCTTTCTTTTTTTCGTCTTATATATTTCCCCCCGGAGCTATGGTCGACCCCCCCGAGGTATTTGTGATATTTTATAGGCGAGCGGAGCATTGCGTGGTGGACACTTGCAAGCCCTCCGTCTTGCCGTCTCTTACGATTCAGCGATTCTCTTCTATCGATGGCTTGCCATTTACGTGTATTTTGTACTGTAGCTTCAGGTTCGAGTAGGAAGGAAGCGAGGCGGCGAAGGGAACTTATTGAAGATGATTACCAGTTTTTTATGACCATGACATGATGGATATATTCCTTCTATAACCGTGGCAGAGACGCAAAAAAAAAAAATCTTTTTCATTTCCTTCTCATGCCGCCCTCCCTTTCCTCTTGCCGTCCCTCCTCCTCTCCCAGACCTGAAGGTACGTCTCGCCCAGGTACAGCAGCTCGTCGCGGATCTTGTCGACGAACAGGTCCTGGCACACGACCCACTCGTCCCTGGCGCGGTCGCGTAGCTGCACCTTCCACGTCTTGCGCTCCTCGCTCGAGTCGGCCACGTCGTCCTTGGCCTTGACGGCCTCGTGCACCACGTTGGCGACGAGGTCGTACAGCACGGGCTCGCCGGGCGGGTGCAGGGCCGGGTCGGGCTCGACATAAGGGGCGACGTCGAGCCCGCGCGGGTCAAAGGTGACGATGGTGGGGTTCCGCTCCGACACGAACTTGTTGCGGCTGAAGCGCTTGACGTGCAGGATCAGGTAGGGGGGCAGGGGGTGCATGAGGCGGTAGCGGCGGCGGTGGTTGAGGTGCTCCTGGGCCGAGACGCCGTCGTACTTTGCCAGGATGGAGGTCAGGGGCACCTGCGGGATGATGCTGCGCTCCTCGTCGTCGCCGCCTCCTTGGAACAGCGGCGCGGGCGGCAGGTCGAGGGTGAGGAGCAAGAAGGGGCCGACGTCGACCTTGACCTCGGCCGCGTCCTCGAACCGGAGCCGGTCAAAGGCGTCGGCCTTTGCTGTGATGGCCTGCGACTCCACCTTGACGCGGCCCTGGAACACGCGCTGCACCATGCTGCTGCCCGGGCGGGTGCGGGAGCCGCCGAGGCCGAGGTGGAGGTTGTTTAGGAACCACGACAAAAAGTCGACGGGGTCCGACTGCGCCGTCAGCGTGAAGCGCTTGTTGGACAGCAGCGACACCTCCTGCAGCAGCTCGTGCGGCGACACGTGGGCCTTGAAGGCGCGCGGGTTCCAGATCTTGCGCATCAGCGTCGAGCAGCGGCGCACCAGCTCGGCCGTCTGGCTGCTGTTGTTGTTGTTGCCGCCGCCGCCGCCACCACCGCCGCCGCCACCCAGGTCCTCGAGCAGCAAAAAGTTGCGCAGCGGCGGGACGTGCGCCAGGGCCTGGACCACGACGTTGACGTAGTCGTTCTCCTTGATGTTGTTCATGCCCACGAATCCCGGCGCGTACTCGCGCCCCGCCAGCGTCCAGGCCGGCGCGGCGCGGCGGCGGTCGAGCGCCGCCACCTCGGCGCGCGTGTAGCGCGGGTCCGAGACGTACTTGATGTCGTCGAGCGACGACGACAGCACCTCGTAGCCCTCGGGCAGCACGTAGACCTTTTGGGTCTGCATGTTGATGAAGACGTGGTGGTCGTCGTCGAGCGCGTGAAAGTAGGCGTGCGACCGGGGGCCGCGGCCCTGGTAGTAGCGCCCGCACACCAGGCACGCGTACACGTTGATGTTGGACAGGCTGACGGAGCAGAGCTTCTCGAAGTCGAAGTCGAGCACGTTGCGGTCGATGGTGTCGAGGTACAGGTCGTCGTAGCCCGCCGTCGGCGCCGACTGCCGTATTGGCGCCGCCCCGCGCACCTCGTCGTCGTCGTCATCGTTGTCGTTATTATCGTTGTTGTCGTCGTCCCCGCCGCCACCCTTTGGCCCGTGGCGCTCCTCGCTGATGCGCAATCTCTCCATGGGCCATCTTGTTCCGTCGCGCTCGCCTGCGCTGTCGGCCCCGCCCTCTCTCCTGTCCCCGTTGCGTGCCTCATGCTCCTCCTCGTCTAGCCCGAGCGGGCTAGGCGTGCCCGTCTCTACCCTCGACCGTTTGGAGGCGGGAGAATCGACCCCCAGCATTTCCTCTAGCGCTTCCGACGCATGTCGCTTTTTTTGTCCGAAACTCATGGTGGCTGGCTATCCGGTAACGGCCGTCGAGCGCTGGTGGGAGAGGCGGGGTGTTCGGAAGGAAACGCCTGGGGGCGACAAGGCGATCGGTCGATGGTGAAAAAAAAAAATACAAGACTTTGCTGGGTGAGGGGGTTGCCTGGGCTGGTGGTGACATGAGGCACGGCATGGGTTCTGATGCCCCACTTTATTTTCTGTTGCGTTGCATTTGGACCGCGCGCGGACATGACTGGTTGGCCGCAGTTTATATCAGAGCTTCTCCATCATTATTTTTATTCATGCCCACACTCGGCCCAGACTATCCGAGCTTGCTTTGGGCTTCCTAGTTGCCATGAAATGTTTGTGTTACAGTTTTCTCTTCCTTTTCCTTCACACCAAAACGCCTTGGGATGTGCAATCAGCGAGCGGCCCATGTAATGACCCCCTGCCGGACCCGTCCGGAACCCCGGAGTATTCTCGTCCTTGGAGTTGCGTGAGTATGAGAAGATCCGAGGACAAAGTTTGAGAAAATAAACATATTTGCGGCCACCAGCCAGCATATAAGAGACCGAACCCGTCGGCATTCCTCTGTTCACTCCGATTTTCCTCGTAGGTGAGAGTGACAAGAACAAAACATATAATCGCAAGTGGTAAAACGGAAGGAGCGGAGCGTTCACATCATCACAAGACTTTGGCTCTGCCAATCGTGCCTCCGCCCCACGCCATTCATCTAGAACGGAAAAAGAAACGGAACAAATCAAGGAAAGAAAACCGGAAGCCAAAATCAGGGTATATCGAAAGGGATTGGAAAAATGAAGAAAGAATAGAAAGAGGAGATGGACATGGACATGGCGGGCGTGATGTTGACATGTCCGCGTCGACGAACAAGAACAAAAGAGGGCAAAGGCCCCTGAAAGAGTCCTACCATTCGAGGCGCTTCTCCCTGAATTTCATGTCAGGCTTGCCGGCGTGGAGACCCCTCGTTCCGCATTTGAGCACGGCCGTGTGCTCGCGGAGGTCGAACTCGACCGACCTGACCAAGACGCGCTTCTCGGCCGGGACCACTTTCTTCTGGGAATTAAGCATTCTAACGACCGAGAAGTCGGGCGCTGTTGTCGAGGAACTTGTGCGGCGGGCATCCCACCTCGCATTACCACCGGGGCCGAGGGGCACGTCAGCAAACTCGGCAGATCCAACCGGCGACGAGGCTGGGGGAGAAGCCATAGACTGAGTCGCTCCCGACATGGCGACGGAGCTTGCAGCAGGGGAGTAGGGGTCCTGGAGGAAGGTTTCGGCGGGGCTGTTGTAATAGATATAGTCGTCATCCTCCTCTTCAATCTCGACCAACCAGATGCCGATTTGGGCGACGAGCTCGCTGTCCCACATGCCCTCGCGCCGCGCACTGCTCCTGAGTAGCTGGATAGCACGGCGGCGGATTATCGGGTCGCGCGACTTGGCCGCGACGACGTAGAGCGGCGGCACGATGCCGAGGTCGGCGCTGAAACTGGGTTTGATGTGGTTTGCGGCGTACTCGTAGCCCGCAACGCCCAGGCGGGCAAGCTGGTGGTGCTGGTGGCGACAGTACACGTCCTGGTTCGGGCAGCGACGCTGAGCCGCCCGCTGCTCCTCGTCGCCCACCACCTCGGTGGCGAGATCCACGATGGCTTCAAAGTGGCCCTTGAAGCTATCAAACTGCATCTCACTGTCACTGAAGGTCATGAGATAGAGGATCTGGCCCATGATCTGGAACATCTTGAGGACCGCGATACCAGCCTTCTCCTGGGGGTTTATGCCAGGTTCCTTTCGCGAAGAGAGGATGGGGTCGAACGCGTCGGACCAGCTCTGGATGCGGGCGGCAAATGCCCTCCCGTATACCATCATGGACTCGGGCAGTAGATTCGGGCCAGCATTTGAATACTGAGTCATAGTCTCCATGGCGCGGAAGCATTGCTCGCAGAGGGTGTCCCATGCCACACGGGCCTCTATCAGCGAAGAGAATCGGTCAGGGATAGGCTCCTGGTGCGTTGAGACGGGCGAGCCCGTATCGGCAACGGGGGAGCCGCCCTCGGCCGGCTTGGCCACCAGATGGATGACGTAGGGCTCGGGGAAGTGAAAGGCCATGTCATACGACTTGGCCTGGATGGCCAAGCGGGTAAACATCTGGATAAGCTCGTCCTCGACCGGTTCCTCGGGCTTGGGCATGAAGGACCTCCTGCGCTCGGCCCGAAGCTTCTCCAGCAGGCCCAGGCCGTTCTGGATCTGCCTGATGGCTTGCTTGTGATCGCCAATGAAGGAGTCGAAGCAGGTAAGCAGGACGCTCGCCATGAGGCGCGTGCGGTTCGACTTCTGGTCCTGCGAGGTGCTTCTCACAAGGGCCGTGATTGCCTTGGAGTATTGCTGTATAGCGACCCTCCAGTGGCCATAGATGGCGTCCACAGGAGACGCAACGGCATAGGCGTCGTCCGGGGGCGACGTTGGAGGGGACTCGACCGTCTTCTCGAGCGTCTTGTACAGGGCCCCGAGGGCCACGACGGCGTGCTTGACGGCCTCCTCCGTGTGGCACTCGCGCAAGACGGTACTGGTCCAGAAGACGTTGTCGAAAAATCCCGACAGCTCGCTGGCGGTGCTGGTGCGGAAGAGCTGGAAGTACTGGCCCTCTTCCAGATCGAAGGTCAGCCCCAGCGTCGGGCCCATCGGGAGGGGCAGCTGGGCCACAACAGGAGTGTGCGGAGGGGTGGGGTGCTTTGGTGGCCTCGGACGGCGGGGCGGAAGGCAGACGGGCTTCCGGATCGGGGTGATGGTGGCCTCTGCGGGGGGAGATGGCTTGGGCGCGATCCGGATCTCCTCGAACGGGCGTGAGCTGTGGGCAGGGGGCGGGTACCCGGTGCATTGCTTGCGCGAGCGGACGCATTGCGTGCATGCGGGCCGCTGCTCGTCGCACTTGATCCTCCTCTGTCTAGCCCAGCGAGGGCTGTTAGCAGACTGCGCATCGTGGCAGGCGAAACCACCGGCCGAGTGAGACTCGGGCGAGTCAAGGAAGCAAAAGACAGGACGAAGCTTGGGCCACAGGTTCCATGCCGTCAAGAAGCTTGTTTGCTAAGATGAGTGCATGTGTGCATGTGCTTTTTGGGTGCGCAAGCCATCTCGGACCAACGTCCTCGGACTTGAAGAGCACGGTTGGTGTTCAGTCGGCAAGGGATGCCGTTTCCAGAGAACTTACTTGCAGTTTCTGCAGCCCGTCTTGGTCTTGGGCTTGCTTGTTCGCATCCTCTTCACCGGTTTCTGGGACGCTACGGCGGCCTCGGGGCTGGCAAGGGATGCCATGGTTGCGTTGTACATCTACCGTCCTGCTACGATGCCGCGATGCTTGTGACGATCCGAAGCCATAGAATGGCGAGCTGGTGGCAGGAAAGGCCTCGGGATGAACGGGAGGTATGGAGGTACGGTACCCACGACGGGATGCGGCCCGAGTCAGACAGTCGTGCGTGGGGGAATGGGCCGAGGTGAGAGCTGCACAGGGGTTCTCGACCCAGCGCGTCTGTGGTTAAGCGGACAGAGCAGAAAGACTCCGTAAGGCCGGGTAAGGCAAGGCAGGCGGATACTGCTGGACGGGTGAGCGCAGGCAAAAAAAAAACCCCGACTCGGATGCAGATCAACTGCAAGCTGGTCCTCGACAAAAAGAAGAAAGAAGAAGCAGAGAACAAGGGTGGCTTGCGCCAGCGCGATCCAGTTTGGTGCCGTTTATCGCGCTGTAAAAACGGGCCAATCGAAGCCCCCTTGCGTCGAGCTTTGAGCCTAGACCCCCTTACCACAAGTTGGGCGACCTAACCGAGAGGGGCCCCGCCGCTAGTCGAGACTCGGTCTTTTGGCACCGGTCTTTATTATCTCCGTCGCAAGCGTACTCGCTGTTCCGGCGACTATTCGGTGCGCAGACAACCCCTGAAATGATATAGTTGATGTCGTCTATCCTCGAAATGCAAGACGTGTGGCGTTTTGTGTTTGGCGTTCGGGCGTCGGATGCACTAAAGGTACCTGCCGAAGTAGGGAGGTTGGAGGCAGGAGGTGACAGATGGGTGCACTGGTAGGGATCAATTAGGAGGGGGTTGCGCAATTGACGCTGAGGGCTGGGATTGGAGCTTGGGAAGGTGACAAGGTAATCCCCGCTCTTTATGACGACGGCAGGCGATTTGCTGAACCACTCAGGCACTGAACGAGAAGATTCCCAGACAGATGGCGATGTGTTGTTTCTGCGGTTCGCAAATGAGCGACGGGGGAATAGAAGATGTGGATGAGGCGGCGAGAGAGTGAGTGAGTGTGTGTGGGTTGTGTATGGAGGAGGGAGAGCAACAGGGAAAGGGGATGGGAGACAGGCTGGAGGAGCTGGCCGCATAGCGGTAATTATAACGGTGGTGGCAGGTTCGGTGTGTGAAAAGATTGAACCGATCCCCTCCTCCAAGACATGGCGGAAGCGCCGGGTGGGGAGCGATTAATTGGCGACTCTCGACAGGACTAGGAATACAGAACCTTATCGAGCAAAGAGACCTGACGCAGAGAACGGGACGCCGAGGTGCAACAACTCTCCGTCCTCCATTTTTGTTTGTGCCGGATCCATGTCCGCAGCACTCGTGGGCAGCTCGACAGTGGACGGGATACCGAGCCTGCAGCCAGAGCGGCAGGCAGCGCCCCTCCCAGACTGCCACCCACCCACACACCCACACACTCGCGCACTCACACACACCATCGTAATGCCTAGCATGCAGCAGGGAGCTGCGGCATGCAGTCTGCAGATGGCCGCAGGCAGCCTGCATTCTTTCTGAAGCCACAAACGACGCTGGTGGACCGTCACACGCCGACGCTGGACGCCTGCCCTCCATGTGATTAGCAGAGGAGGAATTGTCGGGCACTTTTGTTTCTGGCGGACCGCTAGCGTCTCCTCGGCTTCGCTGCTGCTAGCTTTGTTGGGAGCTAAAAAGGGTTGGATGCGTGCGTCTGTGCGCATCCAACCAGGCACCAAACGACAGAGACAGGACTTCTCATCGGGCCCAGCGGGCCACAGCGTCCGACGTTAGCTTCGGCAGTCAAAAACGAGACAATCGAGGTACCCGCTGGGTGCTGTTTGTCGGCCAGTGCGACCCTCACCTCATTGGTTTGGCCCATCTGCCCATCTTCTAACAGCTTCTTTTTTCCCCTCTTGTATCCCCGCCCCACCCACTTCCCCCAAAGCACCCTGTTTCACCGCAGACATTAGCCATGTGATTCCTGATTCCTTCATCGGGCGCGGCTCGTGTCCGTCCTGCCTCCCTTCTGTCCCGCTGGAACCGTTAGACCAGGTGCAGACGGACTGCCATCTCGCCCATCTCCAGAGGGAAGCTAGCATCTTGGTGCCCAGAAAATGGGGGGCCATCGCCAACTTGGCGACCCACCTCATTTCCACTCGCCGGCGCGGTGATGCGGCCTCCTGCGGCCTTTTTTTGGGGCCGTATTCGACGGCCGGCAAGGCGTGGATCGTGTGTGCGTGCGCCGCTCCTCAGCGCAGTGGATTCCTTCCAGAAGCGCGAGCTCCTTGGGCCTCCTTCCCCTCACCCCCTCCACTTCAGCCCTATGACGCGAAGCAGGTCCCACCTTCCCAGGCGGCCGCGTTAGCATTGGTCGGCAGCCCAGCCAAGGTGCGTGTCCCTTGACGCAGGGTCAAGGTCAGAGCTGGAATGGGGAGGGCCATGGTCAGTCGCAAGCGGTCCCATGGCGTCCAATCAGCAACAGGCACCAGAGACGGGCGTGCGTTGCGTCCCGGCGAGCCCAGCGGCTTGTGCCGGACAGATCCTGGCTCTGATTCGTCCTGGTCGCGATGATGGGCAAGAGAAACTACTAGTAAACGCCGAGTGGGCGAGGGAGCCAGGGAACGGGCGAGGAAGCCAGGGAACGGGCAAGAGGAGAGTTGGACAGACGTGCCCTGTTCGCAAGATGGACAACTTGGCTGCCAGCTGTCGGCCCAACCCAGGCTGCTGGGTATCCAAGCACAAGCTGCGACCGACGTGAGCATGTCACCATGTCGCCATGGCTCGCACGCCCGGCCAATCAGCAGCGTCTGATGCCATGGTCGGTAATACCGCCTGCAGCCTCCCGTCAACTAACCCCCCCGCGCCAGGTCAGAATATTGGCCCTCCCACTCGATTGGCGAGGCTTTGTCATTTGTCGAATGCACCCCAAACGGGGATGAAGAAACGGGAGGGAATCCGAGACGAGCGGGACAGGAGAAAAGAAAAACCCCATTTCTGTTGCCTGAAGTGGCTTGCAGATGGCGGCGCCAAACCCGCAGTCGTTCCTCAAGAATCATCAAATGTCTTGATTTGGTAGCCTGCCCGCCCGAAAGCTAGCGACGCACTCATCAGGGTAGCAGGCCAGGCATCAAAGGTGCTTGACGCTGACTGGTTCCGTTTTGGCCAGCGCGCCGTTGTGCGGTGGAGGGGGACCAGTCAGGCAGCCGTCTTGGGTGGATGCTGGGTGGGTTGCCTCCAGAGCTCGAGCTAGGTGCGTGCCTCGGTATGTGCCAAGGTTTTGCAGTGGCCCACGGGGGGCTGCGCTGCAGACCCACCGATTCTGGATCTGGTTTTCTTGATCTGGTTCGCACATGGCGCACTCATGAATTTCGAAAACTACCCGAGCCTGGCGCGTCTGGCTACTTTGTCGGCCCAGCCCCTGGCAGCCCGGGGTCGTGGGAGGGAGGTCAGCAGCCCAGCAGCCATGACTGGCAAGCTGCTAAGCGCTGGCTCTCTCACACCAAGCTCCCAGGTGGTATCGATGGAACCTCGGCATCTGGGCGCGGCTGTAGCACACCAGGAGCTCGGGGCCGCCGTTTTTTGTGGTGGGCTGGCTCTTCTACTTGCTCCATGTATTAGCGAGAAGTGTTTCGGCGCCTGCACCATGCTTGTTCAACGGCCTAAAAGAGCGCACCGAGCTCCGCGTCCCCCGGCATCCGGATGGTATAGACCCCGACTTGATGGAACCCAAGCCTGGACTCCAAACTCGACGTGTCGGTATCGATACCAGATCAGTACGTTGACGTGCATCTCCACGGTGCTGTGTCACCATCGGCCCTAGGTTCAAGCTATAGTGTGCCGCCCAAACCAAAGTAGGCCCGAAAGCGATCATTCTGTTGTTTGCCCTGCTTCGTCCCGGGCGATGGATGCTAGTGCTCTCCCGCAATCTTACATGCATGCCATGGTCTGCTCCCCCTTTGCTGACGGCGTCTCGTCTCGCTATCCCCAGCTTGGGGACGGACTTGGGTATATTGAGCGCTTTTCGATGAGCTGGTACTTGGACGATGGCCTCCAACCACACCACCCGCCGTCCAGTCTGACCGAGGCCGGGGATGGCGCTGGAACCGGCCGGGTCTCCGAGCGGGGTGCCGGCCATGACGCGCTAGAGGCAGGCAAGTTCTCGGCCGAGCCTCGATCCTGGGTTTGCAGTGCTCTTCTGGGTAGTCTCGGGGCCGGACCTCCCGGAGTGACGTATAGGTCCCTGCGGAGTACAGGCAGGTAGCGAAGCCTTTAAATTCTATGGATTTTTGAAAAGCTCGATTGTTTTCTACCCAGACCTTTGAGTGACGTTGACGTGCTAGAAATAGGAATCGGGATAAAGATGAGAACAGAAAGATGAACAAAAATAGGAGTAGGAATAGGAGGTATATGGCAGTACTCGCCAATGAAGCCGCTGGCAGCAAATGGTGATGTGATGCCAAAACACAAGGCATGAAGCAGGTACCTATCTCTGTCTAGAGGTGGGGTAAAAGCACGAGCTCAGAGGGGCAATTGCGGGATTGGAAATAGGTGTGGGTGATCTTCATGACGGCGAGCGGCGTCCAGTTTGTGTGACAGAGAGAGAAAAAAACAACGGCAATAGTAGCAGCAACTACCCGCGTTCAAACAAACCCCACTCGTTTGATGTCTTATGGCGGCCCAACATCTCTCCGTCTCGGACCTCGTCTTCTCGGAGCAGGCGAACCACAACTTCTCGCGTATCCTGGGCGACCTCAAGCGCTCCAACCTCGGCGTCGGGAACCGCCTGCGCTCCGTCGTCGACGATGCCCGCTTCGTCGCGGGGGCGGCCGCCGTCCAGGGCCGACCCTTGGTCGCCAACGAGCGCTGCGGCAGCTGGTACGTCGAGCCGCGCCTCAAGGCCGCCTCGGCCTACTTCAAGAGCACCGACGGCCACGCCGGCCAGTGGAGCTTCAGCACCCGCCGCCTGAACCTGCACCTGCTGCCCTTGATCGGCCGCTGTGATGGGTGAGGAGCGCCCCCTATTGCGGAGTCGTCGTGCGTGTTGGGCCTCGACCCTCGGCTGGCTGACTGACCGGACTCTGGGTCATCGTCGTGACTTTTTGCCGTGCTTGATTTACGTATAGATGCATCATTGTGGACTCTACCCGGAGAGGAAAACGTAAGGTGAAGCGGCTTCTGCCTCTGCCAATATATTGCGACTATACATACGTTCCATTGTGCCCCTATATATCCGCTTCTAGATCAAGCTTCGACACGCACATGTTGTTAACCATGACCACGACGGCCTCTTTCCCCGACTCCCTCCGGCATCCCTCACAGGCATCCCGGACGCGCTCAGCAAGACGGTCCCCATATGGTGCTGCGTCCTGAACCGAGCCCTCTTCCCGGACCTCCCGGAGAGCCAGCGCGGCCTCTTCGTGCCGCCCAACGCCGTCTCCGACTCGGAGCGGAGCCAGATGCTGGCCCGGGTGCCCGACTTCGTCGCGTCGCTCGAGCGCCTCGGCCTCGACCTAACGGCCCTCGCCGCGCAGCTCAAGAAGCCCCTGCGGCCCATGTGGATCAACCGACCCGAGGACGACGGCCACCCTCTGGCCCCGCTCTCGGCGGCATCCGTGATCCCCGCCGACGTAGGCAGCAGCACTAGCGACGACGGCGACGGCGACGGCGACGGCCACCCGCCGCCGCCGGTCGTCGAGGTCTTCGAGGCCTTCCACCCGGTCATCTGCTGCACCAGCTCGCGCCGCGTCGCCGGCGCCGAGATGAGCGAGTCGGGCTACATCCAGGGCGCCGGCGACGACACGGAGAACTGGGCCCACGGCCTGACCCCGCCCGTCTTCTGGGCCAACGCCGCCCGCCTGCTCGCCGCGCCAGAGGCCGGGCTGCCGAGCCTGATCCGCGAGCTCGTGGCCGAGGCGCCGCCCGTGGATGCCGCCGCCGCCGCCGCCGCAGCAGCCGTCAGGCACCTGACCCCCTTCTTGTCGGTCTCTGCTCTTCCTGTGCCTGCCGACCACGACGCCGCCGCCGCCGCCGCCGCCCTCCCCGAACCGAGGACGACGACCACGACCACGACCACGACGACACACCTCACCATCTCGCTCCTCCCATGCGTCACCAAGGCCGAGACGTGGGCCAAGTCGCCGACGACCCTCGAGGTAGGCCTGGGCAAGGGTAAGATCGCGAGCCGCAACCTGCGGCAGGCGCTACCGGACATCTGCGCCTTTGTCCAGAAGGCGGCGGCGGCGGCGGCGGCGACACAAGAGGGCGGCAGCGCCGCCTCGGTCAGGGTGCTGGTGGCGTGCGAGTCCGGCCGCGACGTCTCGGTCGGCGTGGCCCTGGCCCTGGCCTGTCGCTCCTTTGACGACCGGGGGGACGTCCTGCCCGCCGCCGCCGCCGCCACCACCACCACCACCGCGCAGCAGGACGCCGCCTGCCGCCCCGGCCCGACCAAGGACTTTATCAGGACGAAGCTCGGGCGCATCGTCACCGCCATGCCCGAGGCCAACCCCAGCCGCGCGACGTTGCAGAGCGTCAACAGCTTTCTGATGGGCTGGAGGGAGTGAGCTCCGTTTTGAGCTGGGAAGGCTGTTTGCGTGCAAGGAAAAAATCAGGGGTCGTCATCTGTATGATTAGTTGGAATCGTCAGAACTGATCCGACGATGCATTGCCGCTTTAACTATATGGAAGTGCTAAAAAAGTGGCTGCAAAACCAAAACTCGACACATCTGCAACCGAATTCTTTCTCTTGACCACGTTTCTACCAATGTCTGATGCATGGCATCTTGGTGACGATCTACCTCTAGGGGATAACAGCCACCACGCTCCTGGTATAACAAGAGATAAAGGATGGGATGAACAATCAAGAGAGTGGCTGAATATCTTAACCAAACGGTCTTTGGTATCGAAAAAAAAGTCGAAAGACCAAAACCCCAGAGCGCTGGTAGCTGAGAGTGTAGACAAAAAGTGTAGACAAAAAGTGTAGACAAAAAAAGAGGCCAGGTGGACAGCCACACATGGTTTTTGTTGGGAAATCTATCCCCCCGACGCCCTTTGGGCAATGATTTCTGTGATGCTGGAAAAGTTCCGTCGCCTCGCACTGACGCAAACCTGTCCAAAAACAGGCTCATTGCTCGCCGCCACATGCCGGCTGCTTCCGGCCTGATCCTCGTCGCTCGTGTATGAGCCACTGCGAGTGAACAGTCACATCAGCAACATGACCGAAGTAGGTGGGCTAGAACAGAAGGAGAGGAGAGACAGGCTGGGTGACGTACCTCTTGCTCTTGGCCGCCTGGGCTATATAACGTCGGAGGATCCCGCGCCATTCGTCCTAGATGGCGCCCGAGGCGATCTTGTCCAGGCAGGCGGGGAACTCGCTCCAGTCGCGCATGACGACGACGGCGCCCGCCTCGCGCAGCGTCTGCTCCATCATGGGCTGGAGGTCTGGGGTGTAGGGGCCGACGTAGCCGACGACCTTGATGCCGGCGCGGGTGCCGCTCAGGGTGCCGCTGCGCGAGTCCTCGATGGCGACGCACTCGTCGGGCTTGAAGCCCAGCTCCCTCATGGCGTGGAGGTAGATGGCCGGGTCGGGCTTGCTCGTGGGCGGGTCGATGCTGGTGGCGGCGCTGTAGAGGCGGTCGTCAAAGTAGTGCGCGAAGCCGACCTTTTCGACGCTGGCCTGCAGGCGCCGCAGTGCGCTCGACGACACGACCGCCATCGTGTGGTCGCCCTTGTCGGCCAGGCGCTTGAGCTCGGGCTCGACGTTGACGCAGGGGCGCAGGGACGACTTGAGCTTGGCGATGACCACGTCCTCCTCGCGCTTGACGTACATCTCCAGCTCCTCGGGCGTCAGCTGCAGGCCGTGCTGCTTCTGCAGCGTGCCCATCATGCCGCGGAAGTTCTGGCCGACGAACTCCTTGATCAGCGTCTCGCCCGAGAAGGGCGGGAGGTCCAGCCCCTTGGTCTTGCAGATTTCATTGATCAGGTCGGCGCAGCCCTCGAACGCGAGCTCCTCGGACAGGACAAGCGTGTTGTCGCAGTCGAACAGAAGAGCCTTGATGGCTGGCGCAGACATGTTGAGCGGGATTGCCTGTTGAGGGTTAGCGTCCGTCAGCTCAATGGTCCAGCGGAAGCACCGTATGTCTAATATAAGCCAAGTCTCGCCGAATTGTTGGCGATATCCAAAGAGCTCAGATAGGGACAGAGGGTAGAGGTAGATTGCGGGAAATGTGTTGGCATCAATCGAGAGCAGCAGCAAAAAGCATGGCCTCATAGGTGAAAACAAGAAGACACGACTGAAGGCAGGCTCTTCCCAGTGAATCCAAGACTCGGTGAGGGGGAGGAACGAACCCAAGTGTGAACGACAGTATGTAGAAGCCCGCCTATGAGAGGAATTGGCCCGCCGAGAAGAAGGTTCTCTTAGCAGAAAGGAAAGAAGCACGAAGGGCAGATGGACCCGAAGTGAAGTAGCCGATAGACAAGCGAGAAGGTGGGAGTGGGAGTTTTCCAAGACCCTGACAGGGGAAGTTGGTAGTGCCGCGCTTTCTAGTATTTATTTTCTGGCGAGATTCCAGAGCCTGCTTCGCTGGACGACGGGGAGACACAGAGGTCGCAACTCGGTCGGCCTTCCCCAGCGTGGGATGCCCCTCCAGTGTCGTCATTGTGGGGTATATTACATGACTCTCCTCCATCGTTGGCTGTTCTCGCCCGTGAGGTTCTGATTTCTGCTGCATGTTGACGTTTGCTGCAAGTCAAACTCCAGGGCAACGGGCCCGCACCTCCAGCGTGGCTCGGCGTGCGCGCTTTACGGGCCACGTGCAGGCCCGTGGGAGAAACCGGCACCGATCCTGCCGCTAGCTCGAGATTAACGGCCTATTCCCTCATAGGGGCGCCCTGGCATAGTGGGTGTGATTGATGGCGGCGCGCAGCCTTAGCCGACGGCACGTTGGCGGCACGGCGGGGGGAGAGTGGGGGCGGCTGGGATGACGGGCCGGGAAAGCATGTGAGAGACGACAAAGCAGGAAAACCTTGACTACCTAGCTAAGTATCCAATGGTCGCGGGAAACATCATCAGGTACCGAGCAGGCTTGGTATGGAGGAAGCCAGAGATATGCAGGTTTGTGTATCCAAATAATCCGAGAGAAAAGGGGGTGTATAAAGGAGGAGCGCTTATTCTAGCTATCATAGCGGCGGCAGGTCTTCCCGGCAGATGGGGCACTGCAGCCTGAAGCGCAGCCAGCCCTCGAGGCACTCGCTGTGGAAGATGTGCCGGCAGGGCGTGACCATGTACTGCCTGCGCGCGAGCACGCCCGCGACCCCGCCGGCCGCCGGGTCCGAGTGCCCCGCCCGGATGACGGGGACCTCGAGCACCTCACGGCAGATGGCGCAGTCGACGCCCCGCATGCGCGTGTGCTTGCTGCCGCCGTCCTTGTCCTTGTCCCCTCCCCCGACCGACGAGCGCCTCCGCCCGGCCACGGGGCTGCCCGGCTCCGATGCCGAGCCGCCGCCGCTTCCCATGAGGCCCATTGGCAGGCCGCCGGCCTCGAGGTTGTCCTCGCGCAGGATCGGGTGGTAGTCCCATGCCTCGGGCGCCCATCCCTTGGGCACCCCGAAGCGCGGTCCTAGCACGTCCTGGAACCCGAGAACCCATATCTGGCACCACAGCCAACCGGCGAGTATTAGAAATGCGTTCCAGTCGGGTCGCGCAAACGCTATGTTACGTTCGCGGAGGTAGAAGTAAGCCACGGGTAACAGCCGTAGAGCCGACTGCCCGATGGTGAAACGCCAGGCAAAGGCCCGACGAGAGTTGCGCGCCACGTTGCGTGCTATCTGTGGCACCCAAAGCGAGAGGTACGCAAAAGACAGCATATTGGCATAGGCAGACCGTGCCCATGCCCACCATGAGGTTGCTGCAAGCGACAGAAACAGTAGCATCAGGCCAAACAGCACGAACCGCCCTAGAATAGCGGAAAACGGTGTGGGCTGCTGCTGGCTTGTCGCTGTATTGACGCCTCCCGTGGTGTTTGAACCGGGAGCTGTAGTAGGCAGGAGGCTGGCATTTGGTCCTGCGTTCTCCATCTCGAAGATTTCAGCATCGATATCCTGATCGGATGGTATGATAATCGGCGGCGATGGCGGCCGTGGAGTAGGCGTTTCAACTACCGGTACAGGGGCCGCCACTACCGCTGCCGCCGCCGCCGCCGCCGCTCGAGCTGTCGCGGCCCGGGCCGCTGCTTCCCGGGCCGTAGGAGCAGTGTTGGCAGCCGTCTGTTCCCTCTCGCGGTTTCTCCGCTCTGGCTCCTGCACCTTGTAGACCTCGTACAAGAAGCTACCGCCAATAGTCATACTGATGAACCCCGCAAAGGTCAGCAGGAGGGACGGCAGAAGCGTCGCCGAGGCCGACAGGCTCCAGAACGAGGCGGCTCCGAAGACGATGCCGTCGGCCAGCACCATGATTCCGGCGGTCCAGAAGCTCACACGCCCCAGCGTCGACGGCGTCGACGACTCACGCATTTGCGTCTTGAGCAGGTGGACCTGAGCAAACATGACGGCCGCCAAGGTGACGAGCCACAGCTTTGCCGAGTGCGCGTAGACCTCGTCCTTCATCCCCACCAGGTGCTTCCCGTCGGCGGGCGTGAAGTCGGGCGGACCCTTGGACTCGAGAAAGAAGGCGCAGTCGGGGGAGTAGATGACGGTCGACATCTTGAGATCGGGCGTCGCGGGCACCGGCGCTCCCGTCGGGAACCTCAGCTCGTCCTCGATCAAGCCCACCATGGCGGCGAGCGGGTCCGTCTCGAGGGGGTGCACCTGGACGAACATGACCAGCTCGCAGTGGGGCGACGGATTCCACGTCTCGTGCGGCATGTTTGGGTACGAGCTCCAGGGGTTGCTCAAGTCGCCGAACCGGGCCTTCTCCTTGCGCAACAGCACCTCACCCGTCGTCTCGTTGAGCAGCTTCTGGCTCGAGCGGAAGAAGTTGGGGCCCGGGGTCAGGTGCGGCAGGCCGAAGATGCCGCCGAACTTGTCGCTCGTTGTCGTGAGCAGCATGGCGCCCTGCTCCGGCCAGTGGACGCCGTGTAGCCGCACGTCAAAGGTGCTCCCCGTGCCCAGGACGTCTTCGATGCTGGCCAGCGCCGAAACCTCCCTGACCAGGCCGCCCGTGCTGGCTTGGTCCCCGCCTGCACCCGCGCCATCGTCCTGCACCTGCACCGATCTGTGCTTGTCCTCCACCCGCAGGAGCATCTTGCCCTCGGCGCCCGTGATGTTCCTGTTAAACTCGTGCCCCGTCCAGAGTATTGTGGGCGCCATCTGCGTCAGGTTGTAGTCGCGGCTCTTCCGCTTCTCGGACCCCTCGCGCCGCACCCACTCCCCGTGCACTATGCCCGTCGCATTGCGCCATGTCGGCCGCGCCCGCCCCAGGTCCCAGCTGCCGTCGCCCGCGTCGCTGCCGACGACTGCAGGGAACGCGCTGCGGCTCCACTCGAGACACCTTTCCCTGAAGTGGCCCAGGTCCGCCCATGCGTAGCCGTCCTCTTCGCGGAAACCGGTGACGTTCAGGTACTTTTTGGCGCCGCCGTCGGCCGGGGTGGTCGGTGAAAAGTCACCCCACTTTGTGCTGTTGAGGACTCGGTGGGCAGCGCGCTGGCGCTCGAGGCGGGAGGCGAGGATGGCGGGTGCGGCTACTATGCCGGGGCCGGCGTCGGGGGCCGAGGTCAGCCAGAGGAGCAGGACGATCAGCAGGACGACGCGGGCGTGGTCCTGTGGTGGAGGCATCCCGCCTGCAGCTCCGGCGACCCTGGAATCGGCAGGCTCGGCTCCAAAAACACGCAGTTGAAGAAAGACCGGTGGTTATGAGTGACCCATGGTAGGAGGAGCTATAGGGTGTGGAAATACGGCGGCCGGCCTTTATTCGCGCAGGCAAGAAAGGGGCCGAGATCCAGTCCAGTTCTGATGGGTGCGGTGTGTCTGTCTTGGGATTTCAGGCACCTTGTCGACGGTTCGGCAGGGTCGGAGGAGGTCAAGTGAGTGGCGTGTCGGGCGCTGTGGATGACAGCAATGGGGTCGCGTGAGGGGCTGTCTCGGCCAGGATTTGATTTGATTGATCCAAGGTCGGGGATATCCATCCAGCCGACGACATTTGCGTGTGGCTTTCCGGGATCGCGCCTGAGCCACAGCACCGACGTCAGCCGTGGCAGGCAGCCCTCGGCACCCACCGCGCACACCCACACCGCTGCACGACCCCTGTCCGGGGTCCCATCAAACAATATGCACTGGAGCCGCTGGGGTGGGGTGGCGTCGCAGCTCCCCCCCCGACAGACGCCTTGCTGTCACATCGGCGAACAACGCTCCGCATTGTGCGAACTTCCATCCGTCGTCTCGTCAATTTCCCCGACAATTCCAAGTGATACTAGCCACGAGGCACCTCTAGACACTCCCACGTGTGAGATCCCCATCCTCGCACCTCCCTGCAACCTCCCCGATCACCAGAGGAAACGTCGCTACGCATGCCCGTGGCACACAGCACCCCCTGAAAAGGAAGCCACCCGCCGGACGCCCAGCGCGGGAAAAAGCAAAGAGCAGAAAAGAATTTAAAAAAAAAAAAAAACGGGTAAAGGGAAGATGTCGTCAAACAACGATAACAACGACCCCAGCCAGACAACTGTAAGTACCAAACTGGATAGAATCCGCATGAGGAGCCTGGGTCAAGTCAAACGTACCCGGCCAAGCACCCCAGCGCCGCACCCACACGGACGTGCCAACTCGGCGGAAGCAGGCGCGCGTTCAGGCTGACCTTTCCAGCAGCAAAACTCCGAGGCCGAAGATGCGCGCGGCGAGCTGACCGCGCAGCTGGAGGACCTCCTAAATACTCTCTCCAACAAGTTCGCCGGCGTGTCGAGCGAGATCTTTGCAAAGAGTAAGCTCGCCGATCCTCTCGTGGCTTCCGAGCAGGGCGCGCTCGCTTGTGTCTTTGCGCGTATTGACCCCCCAACCCATAGTGGACGAGATGTCACGGCGACTAGACAATCTAGAAGCACAGCTGGCCGCAAAGGCCGAGAACAGCGCAGGCTCCAAGTAATCATGACTAGATAGATGCGCGAGAATGCGCACTTGTTTCGGCAAACAGAAGGGGTGACATCAGGGTCACCGGCGTTATCGAATTTACTACGGCGCAACACCCCTGGCGGCTGTTTGTACTTCCTCCCTTGTCTTTTTCTCACCTCGCACAGAGGCTGTTAATCTGGGCCAGATTTTCGCGTGTCACAAAGACAGCCGGTCACCGCTAGAGTTGTGTGCGCGTGCCCTATTCTTGTCTTCGGTCCAAATAATTCGTTTCATAAGACGTGATATCAACATCTACATATGCCGCATGGGTAGCCTTTTTCAACCCCGATGAGCATCACTGTTCCCATGATATGATCGCTAGCATGACCCGAGATTGCAGTTCCCTTTTATACCCGATAACACCAACTAGAACCCCTTGCGGCTCGTTGTAGACTTGGACATGGCGGACCGACTACAGCTCATCCTTGCCAGTTGCCTCCTCGGCGACCTTCTCAGCGAACTTCCGGAGAACGTTGGTCTTGCGCGTCAGCTCGTCCTGCTTGGCCGGGGCGAGCCCGCCCTTCTTCAGTATCCCCTCCAGACGCGCCAGCTCCTTGGACACGAAGTTTTCGTTCTTGTTGAGCTTGTCAAAGACGCGCAGATAGTACTCGGCGTACTTGATCTGGGCCTCCTCCTTGAGGTCCGCGGCCGCCTTCTTGGCCTCGGCCGCAGCGTCGCTCAGCGAGGTGCCTCCGGTGTACTTGACAACAATGGCATCGATAGCGGCGAGGGTGCCGGCGGTGGCGTCGACGCCGCCACCAACAGCCCGCTGGGCACCCGTCTTCTCGTTGAGGAACTTGACCAGGTCCTGCTCGGTCCGGCCGCCGTTGTAGGGCTGGGCCTCCTTGCTGCCCTTGGGGAAGAACTTGATGGTGGGGTACGACTGAACGCCCTCGTCCTGCGCCGTGGCCTTGCTGTTCTCCGCCTCGGCGTCAACCTTGGCGATCACAACGTCGTCCTCCAGGGAGAAGGTGGTCGCGAGGTCCTCCCAGATGGGGGCCAGGGTCTTGCAGTCTAGATTTCAGGAAGTGGGGGGTCAGCACAGGGACGAACCCCGACTCAGCAGAACTTTGCAGAGGCAGCCGGGTCCCAACTTACGTCCGCACCACGGAGCAGTGAAGGCAACAAAGACGTGCTTGTCGGCGCCAATGGTCTTCTTGAAGGTCGCGTCGGTGAGCATGTTGACGCTCGAGGGCGGTGCCAGCTTGCGCTTGGGCTTCGCTCCCGTCTTGTCCGTGATAAAGGTGCTCAGGGTCTCGAGGTCGCGGCCGCCGTTGTACTCCTCGGGCTTGTCGCTCTTGCCGTCGAACCACTTGAGCGTCGGGAACCCCTGGACGCCGAAGCGCTTGCCCAAATCTTTCTCAGCGTCGGCATCGACCTTGGCAATCTGGACCTTGTCCTTGGAGCCGGCAAAGGACTGGGCGAGCTCCTCGTACGTGGGGGCGAGGGTCTTGCAGTGACCGCACCAGGGGGCAAAGAACTCGACCAGCGTGGGCTTGCCCGACTTCAGGACGACATCATCGAAGTTGGAGGGGATCAGATCCAGGACATCGGATTTGGCAGCCACGAGAGCCGCGAGGGCAGCAAACAAAAAGAGCCTGAAGCTCTTGGGGAGAGCCATGGTTGTGGATAGCTGGAAGCCCTAGGCAGAGGATGGTGCAAGACAATGAAATGAAGCTTGTTGCGATCCTGGATGCGAGTTTCAAGCTATAGGCTCTGGAAGCGTGGTTGGAAATCAATCCCAATGTACACGCTATAGAAGGTCAGCAAAGAAGACACTTTGCCTCCACCTAATGCTCGGAAATGGAGCTTCTAAAAGGCGGCGGCGTCAGTGAGGCGAGGGAAGCTCCCCTGCACTTGAACGCCACGCCACCAATCCCGCCCCAGTCTGCCCCAATGGGGGTTCCAGATTTTGGGCCCATATTTCCGATCAAGCAACCCCACCAAAGACAAACGATACTAGCCACACGTGGCGCCATCAAACCACTGGGCACAGCCAGGAGGACAGACCCCTGCAAACGTAGTCCTAGGCACACAAGCAGAAAAAAAAAAGGGCCAACCAAAATTCCACAGAGGGGGCCAAGTCACAGCTTTCTGAACGCCAACCAAACAACCAGTCTCCGACCGACATCACCGCGAACCAAACCCAACATTCGCACCAAAAACCCGTCAAAATGTCTCACGAGAGCGTCTGGAACTCCCGCCCCCGGAGCTACGGCAAGGGCGCGCGCGCTTGGTACGAGGCCCCTTTACTTTTGTCGCTGGCGAGGGCTGTTGGAAGAGGGACCTGAAGAGGAGGGAGGAGGGGAAGACGGGGCGGCGCGCACGCACGACAATGCGAGGCGAGAGGTCAAGAGAAAGACGCTGAATATGGTTGCTAACGTGGGGAATTCTCAATCGCAGCCGCGTTTGCACCCACCGTGCCGGTCTGATCCGCAAGTACGGCCTCGACATCTGCCGTCAGTGCTTCCGTGAGAAGGCTGCCGACATTGGCTTCGTCAAGGTACGCTCCTCCCGCGCCAGTGAACACGCACACAACCCTCACCTCCCAGAGTCTTTGTGGTCCTCCCGATACACCCAGGAGACATGCGAACCAGGGACCAGAAAAGAGGAAAGCGAGGATGTGGAACAAAAGGGCCATGCTGACTCTCTCCATTCATCACACAGCACCGTTAAATTCGAATACCCAGAACGGCGTGGCGGGCATATACGGCGTACGGAGATGGGAGGGACGAGGAAAGCCGAGACGTCCCCTGGCGCCCAGGTCTCGGTACTAAAACTTTCATCACCCTCTGGGGAATCATCTGCGGCAGCGATCTTCTTCTGCGGCCGGCATCGGAGTTTGTTGGTCTTATTTCACAAATCGGAAATGGAATCGGAATCATTGGCTTGACCACGACGGATGATAAAAAAAATATGACATTCTGCGCCCTTGTGCTCCTCTTGAAGCAACCTAGCCTAAGACCACTTGATCGCTCCCACGTCGCTGAACATGGCTGCGGACCAGAAGTGTCGACAGCGCCACGGCTTTCCTCGCCATCGGCCTAGTCTCTCAGCCAGCTCACCATGGAACCAGAGGTCTCGGTGCCATGTGCGATGCAGCTGGCGATGATGAGAGATTCGAGGCGTTCCGGACTTGTATTATTAGATATGACGGTCTTGTGAGAATGGCACAACGCGCCACAGCCGGTGCTACCTTTTTTTTGCATGGCTCATTGAAGCAATGACGTGCCAAGTCATCAGGCGCACCGGTGGAAACTTGATCCATCATGCGTCACCAAGCGGTCAAAGAAATCGCTGTCACTGTTGTCACATAGCCGTCGACGTCGCAACTTGACCTTCTATATACATATCATATCCTGGTATGCGAGTATATGAACATGGCTATCGAGGAGAGGAGATGAATGAGTCCGGGGGCTGATATACATCGTAACACATATAGTACAGGAAGAAGCAGGGTATGTGGCTCGGAGCGGCCCGTGGTGGACGCGTGCCGGCGTCCGTAATGTACACAACATTACAAAACATTAACTCCTGCTATTTTTGTTTTCCTCTTCCTTGGTAACCCTCCCCATTTTGAAGATTCCTTTTGCCTCCAGCCTGAAGGACCGCCGTCGCAAAGAAACGCTCGGCACGGAAGGGATGTGAAGGGGAGCCCCCAGATCAAAGCACCGCCTCGTGATATAGGCCCGGCAGGCACGATCACTTCAGTATGCGAGTGACCAGACCGGTAGCGACCGTCTTGCCGCCCTCGCGGACGTTGATGCGCATGCCGTTCTCGATGGCGAGGGGCGAGTGCAGGGTGGCAACCATCTCGACGTTGTCGCCGGGCATGACCATCTGGGACTTGTCCGCGTGGGCCTCGGGCCAGGTGAGGGTGCACGACTCGTTGGCGGTGCGGACGTACATCTGGGGGTGGTAGTTCTCGCCGAAGCCGGTGTGGCGGCCGCCCTCCTCCTTGGTCAGGACGTACATGGACAGTAGGAACTGGCTGTGGGCCGTGATGCTGCCGGGGGCGGCGATGACCTGGCCGCGCTTGACGTCCTCGCGGCGAACGCCGCGGAGCAGGAGACCCGAGTTGTCGCCGGCGCGGGACTCTTCGCACGACTTCTTAAAGGTCTCGATGTCGGTGACCTTGGACTTGGTGACCTCGGCCGACTTGCCGACGATGTCGATGTCCTGGTCGCGTTTGAGGACGCCACGCTCGACACGACCCGAGACGACGGTACCACGACCGGCGATGGAGAAGACATCCTCGACCGACATGAGGAAGGGCTTGTCCATGTCGCGCTCAGGGGTAGGGATCCAGTCGTCGACGGCCTGCAGAAGCTCGTCGATCTTCTGCTGACCAATCTCGGGGCGCTTGTCCGTCAGGGCACACAGGGCGGAGCCCATGATGACGGGGGTGTTGTCGCCGTCGAAGCCATACGAGGTGAGCAGCTCGCGCATCTCCATCTCGACGAGCTCCAGCATCTCCGGGTCATCAATGGCGTCAACCTTGTTGACGAAGACGACGATCCTCTGGATACCAATCTGGCGGGCCAGCAGTAGATGCTCCCTGGTCTGGGGCATCTGTCCGTCCGAAGCAGCGACGACGATGATGGAGCCGTCCATGTTGGCGGCACCAGTAATCATGTTCTTGATGTAATCAGCGTGGCCGGGACAGTCGACGTGCGAGTAGTGGCGGTTGTCGGTCGAGTACTCGATGTGCGCCGTTGAAATAGTGATACCACGCTTCCGCTCTTCCGGTGCCTTGTCGATGGCGCCATATTCGAGGAAGTTTGCCAGGCCCTTCTCGGCCTGCCTCTTGGTGATGGCAGCGGACAGAGTGGTCTGTATAGGCCAGGAAAGCGGGGTTAGCAGCCTTTCCATGCAGACAGCACACTGGCAATGCTATGGCAAAGCCAGTGTAACTCCATAAAGCCAGGACGAGACAGAGCATAGTGCACCTTTCCGTGATCGACGTGGCCGATGGTACCTGGACGGGTGGTCAGTTATAGACGGGCCAAGAGGGGTAGTAGTCCAAGTTCTCATAATTATCCTCACCGATGTTGACGTGAGGCTTGGTCCTCTCGAACACGGCGTACCCCCTCCGCAGGTTGAGGACCGAAGACTGGGTTTGGCGCTGGAGGGATAGCAGAGGGTTTGCCCCAGATCTGTTGAGCGCGAACCGCGCCGTCCGCACGAAGGGCGCGAGGGTTCTAAACGAAGCCGACATGGCTGTGGGTGGGGGTTGAAGAACCCAACACAATGACGAGCAATGATTGGGCTGGGGACCCCAAAAATAGAGAGACTAGAGGAATTGAGGGTATCTGGAACCCAGTTCCAAGCTCAATGGTCGTCGACGTTGTGGTTGCGGCGCATCGAATTTTCGACAAAATTTCGCAAGCATCAATCGATCAAGGCTGGACGTCTCCAATTGCGGCTCGGGTGCGCCACAACGCCACAAAATGGCAGCATCCCCGCATCAGCATCACGTGCGAATTCTTGTGGTGGACCATGTAGAGCTGCTCGAGGAGTGGTGACGGATTGGCTTCACATTACGCAAATCGCGGAAGCTTCCAAGGACGATTATCACGAAGCCTCGCCAGCATCCTGGTGTTTGTTTCCTAGGTGGTTCTAGCAAAGCGGCTGACAAAGGCTGAATCACGGACGCCTTGGGAAAATGATTGTCGACAGCCTCAGACGCAGGGATAGCTAGCGACTAGGTAGGCGGCGGCAACATGCCTTGGAAATCGCACTCTCTGCTCGTGGCCGGGGCCGCTTCTGTCTCCCGTTGACTTGTCTTGGCGGTGGCCGTTTCCGTGATTGTTTCCATGATTGCTCGGCCTTGGACGACAACGGGACAGGAAACAGAAATGGAAACCTGCGGCCTCGCCGAGCTGGCTTTTCGATGGGCGGATCCTACCCGGATATCATGCCATATTTGCAGTGAGGCTGCCTGTCAGCCGTCGTCGCGCAGGGGTTGGTGGCGGCGCTTGCTGTTATTCCCCGCGCCCCCAGCTCAATTACCCGATGTAACCTCAAGGGCGGGCTAGATGATGGAAGGGCTGAACAAGAGACCGAAATGCGTGTGGATATAAAGCAGCAACTCCAAGGTGAGCAATACATGGCAGCTAGCGCCGAGCTGCACATTTTTAGAAACCTGTGTGCTTGTGCTGGGCACGATCTGGCATGGATGGTGGCGCATCCCTTCCAACATTGACAGCGAGTGAGCGGATGGCTGCCGCTGACGGATGCTAAATCGATAACCCGAAAGGGCGGCGATACGCAGCCAAGCTGTCCATGGATCTGACCAACGTGCCTTTTATTTTTATCCCTTTTTTCTCTCTCATTTGGAATTCCGCACACAGGCCATGATAAAGATGGGATAACGTGTCACAGGGGTGCGGAACCAGCGCAAATCCTGCATCCCTCCCTTCTAGCTTTTTCCCCTTTCGGTTTCGGTCCACGTGGCTACCCCCCACCCGCAATAGACATACCGTTTGATTCCTTTCTTTATTCCACCAACTGATACTAACCAGGACACGCTTATAAAGACCCCCGTCGGTGATGACGCTCCACTTCGGGCGTAGTATTGGCCTCTCTCCGAACAGACTGAACTGGCGCCGTGATCAGCGGGCGGCTACGGGTAGATCACAGCGAGACATACTTATTTCAGTCCTAGGAAAGGCATCGACACCGCCCGACAGTCGCTGACCCTGGGCAGTCATGTCCAGCTCCCCTCCCGGTGAATCTGCGGTCGGTCCAGTCATTGAGGCCGACACTTCCGACAGGGTAGCATCTTTTCTTGCAGTTTCTTTCCGACGAGAAAGCAAGCCTGCTGCCCTTGGCCGAGCCGACTTACGCTAACACGACGAGGCTCCTGATCAGTCCGACACAGACTCTGCTCTCGACGTGGTGAGTCTGAACAATGCTTGACACTCACTGCCACATAGGAGCAACCATGGAAGTTAACCGTGCTATAACATTCTTCTTTTTTTTTTAGCAATCGCTCGGCTCTGACAGCGAGTCCATCACTTCGAGCATATTGAGGTTTCGCCACGAGAATGGCCGGACATATCATGCTTACAAGGAGGGTTGTAAGTATCCACTCGGCACCCTTCAATGGATTTCCCACCTCCAGATATCGGGCACTTTTATTGAGACTGACCATGTGCAACCACAGCATATGTCCTGCCAAACGATGGTGTATGTAACCAAGGCCCCTCATCTGGGTAGCACCTTGGGGAGAATGACTTTGTATCTACCACAAGACACTGATAATGAACACTACTCTTCAACAAGGCTGAGATCGAGCGACTGGGTATGTTCAGTGCCCTAGAACTATACGCGACCGGCCCAAAGCGAGTGCTTGCTAACCGCAGTTGCTTATAGATCTGCAACACAACATTGTTCTCTTGACCTTGGGAGGCAAATTGCACTTAGCCCCTATCGGTGAGGATGGAAGACATGTCAGCAGGGTCCTGGACGCTGGCACTGGGACGGGTATCTGGGCCATGGATTTTGGTAAGCTCATTTCCTTCTCTACAAGGAGGGTAGACCGTTTCGAGCCTGTTCTGACAGTCTCCGCTCTCATCTTCAATAGCCGACGAGCACCCAGAGGCGCATGTGAGTGGAAATTAGGATGTCCACACAATGGATCAAACCCCCAGTCGCGTCCTTCTCTCTAACCATCTACAACCATGCCATCTTCTCAAAGGTTATCGGGATTGATCTCAGTCCTATTCAGCCTTCGTTGTACGTTCTCTCAGCCTAAAGCGGTCATGTCAGTAGGACGGTGGAAAAGCTGACATATCCTCACTCCCGTTAGTGTCCCACCAAACGTGGGCTTCTACGTCGACGACTTGGAAGCAGAATGGTCATACACCGCGCCCTTTGACTTTATCTATGTCCGCACGCTGGCGGGCTCCCTCAAAGAGTGGCCCAAGCTCTACCGGCAGGCTTATGAGTGAGTTCCGCCGCTCTCAAGATTGAGCCTGACTGTTGATGAATGAAAAGGCGGAAGAAAAAAAACATCTGACATATCCCGTTGTCCCCCCGCAGCAACCTCTCCCCCGGTGGCTACATCGAGTTGTTCGAGCCAAACTACCCCATAGGGTCTGACGATAACTCCTTGCCCGCAGACTCGGCGCTTCTCCGGTGGAGCCGGCTATGGCAAGAAGGCGCCGCCAAGAGCGGCCTCCAGCTCCTCACGGCGGAGCAGCACAAGGCCGTGCTGGAGCAGACGGGCTTCGTCAACATAGTCGAGCGCAACTTCAAGTGGCCCCTGAATACCTGGCCCAAAGACCCCAAGTACAAGGAGCTAGGTAAGGTTTACGACGTTCCTCCCCGGAAAGCGAGAGTGTTGATCTAACGGCCCTTTTTCTTCTTTCCTTCTGTAGGATCCTGGGTGTACGAGGTCACGTCGTCCGGGCTGCAGGCCATGACCATGGCCCTCTTCACCCGCGTGCTGGGCTGGTCTGCCGAGGCGGTTGAACTTTTCCTCGTCGACGTGCGCAAGGACGTTGGAAATCGCAGATACCACGCGTATTGGTCCATGTAAGTTATTTTCTCGCGTCTCTGTCGGTCTCCCATGGAACAGCGGCCTGGGTGGAAGCAACTTGACCACTGACAACAGCTTGGGGCCCGTATCACGTAGCTTTGTTCTTTACGCTCAGAAGCCCGCATAATCTAGGCGGTTTTTGGATGGCTCTAGAGGAAAAGAGGATCGACATCTCGCTTTGTATTTCACACATTCCTGTAACCGTCATGTGCATATACTTCGGTGTGTACATGATGCCTTTGAAAAGACATCCGCTGTGCTTCCTACGGTCAAAATATGCCCCCTTTTACAATTCGCTAATCGTGCTTGGGCTCTCCGCCTGGTCGGCAGCGGGGCCGACTTTCAGCTTCTCAAAGAGGTCGGCGGCGAGACTGGCGTCCATGTCGAGAACGGTCCCCAGCAATGGCGAGGTAGGAAGGTGGCTCCCTACATGCTTGCGAAAGGTTTGCTGAACCTGCTGCCACGCCGCCGCCACAACATCCGGCTCCGGCAGACTGCTGATGCCGAGATGCCCCGTACGGCCGTCGAAAGGCTTCCAGGGCTTCTCGTTGCTCTCACACGTCTCCCAGCGACCGGTGGGCCTGCCGCCGTTGCTCCCGGAAATCGAGGCGGGATCGATGACAGGCGGGTCCGGGACGAGGCCTCGGTCTAGGTACGCGCGGATTTTGGCGATTGTGCACAGAGAGACGGCCGCCAAGGTGCAGTGTCCCGAGGCCTGAAGCTCCAAAAACCCGGAGCCAGCGAACCGGCGGCTCATGGCGAGCCCACCCTCCAGGGGGGTCACGGGGTCGTACGTGTTTGAGACGAAGAAGACGGGGAAGGAGGTGTTGACTGGCGGGCTGTCTGGGCCGGGGAAACCGCCGAGGTTGAACTCGGGAGGGTCAACTGGGTCGATGTTCCAGCCCGCGCAGGTGGCCATTATAAGCATCCAAAAATCACTAAATGCAGATACTCGGGCCAGTTCCTCGAAAACGACCTGCAGATCCGCGAGGTTCTCCTTCCACTGGCGATGTGAAAAACACAGTGCGTGGTCAGCAAGGGGACTTGCGTCATCCTTTATGGGGCTTTGGGGCTTTGCACTCTGGCCAACATGGTGCAAGACAGTGTAATAAGACGAGAACCAGAGGAACCAAACCTACATGATGGCGCCGGTCGCTGCACATAATCGCCAATTGGCTATCTTCGGGATATGGGACGGGCGCGTATGTGGCACTGCAAACGGGCGCGAGGTTTGGCGGCACCACGAGCTGGCTCAAGTCAAGTCCGCTCTCAATGATGAAGAGCAGGAGGGAGAGCGTGGGGAAGGTGGCTACCGGGAAATACAGCATGCCGAAAACGGCAGTCTTGAGGTCCGAGGCGCGCAGGAGCATAGGCATGCGCACCTGGTTTGGGATCACGATGATGGGGTCTTCCTCGAGGCGGGCCATCAGGCGCTTGTACCGCGCCGCCATGGCCTCGGGGCCGTCGCCCTTTCGGTAGAAATAACACCTCTCCTGGGCGTCGTGGCAGTAGCCGAAGAAGGAGGCAAGAACCGAGTCGGTGTCGGCGAGGGCGTCGGCCCAGACATCTCTGGAGTACATGTCGGCTTTCATGACGCCATCTAGGACGAGGCGGCCGACCGAGTTGGGGAACATGGATGCAAAAGTGGCACCGAGAACGGTGCCATAGCTGAGGCCCCAGTAGACCAGCTTCCCCCGTGTGTCCTCCGAGGGCTGCTCCGGACGAGCTGCCACTGCGCCCAGCGTGTCGGTCCATGCGTCCCAAGCGTTCACTATGGCGAGCAGGTCGCGGGCGACGTTGGGGGTGCCCACGTAGCGAAAGATGCTGTCCGGGCCATCCTTCGCTTTGCAGAGCTTCGACTGGGCGCGGGCGCGGGCGGTGGTCAGGGCGAGAGCCCTGTCGGTCGAGTTGGCAAGCCCGATCACCTGCGTCTCCAGCTTGGACGTCAGGCGACGGAGGAGGGCGGCATTGCGCTCCTCGTGGGTGGGAGGGTCCTCGGGAGCAAAGTCGTCGAGGAAGCAGTCGGCCTGGGGCCAGGTGGCGCCGATGCCCCGCGGGTCGAAGCTCAGCAGGTCGTGGTGGCGGCCGACGACGGCTTGGAGGGCCAGGCCTGCGGAGAGCATGGCGCTGGTGCCTGAGCCTCCAGGGCCGCCAGGGTTCATGATGACGGGCGAGGCGGCGAAGCGGCCCGACTCGAGCGAATGACCGTCGCCGGGCAGCATGACCATTGCGATATGGACTTTGGGGTGGGCAGCGGACGCGTTCAGGGGCCGGTTCCAGTCCATTGGCACCGTCAGGCGGGCACACAGGAAGTCGCCGGGGTACGAGCGGAAGCATGGGACCCAAGAGAGCTTCTCGCTGGGGGCGATGGCGTCCCAGTCCGTGTAGCCGTCGCTGGGGGTCTTGGGAGACGCAAAGCTAGGCCATGGGCTCGTCGGCGAGCGCTGCCAGAGGCAGAAGCTAGCGATCAAGACGGCGGCAGCGACCGTCGTCAGCCTCCTCCAGCGCAATACAGCACTGCCGCCGCTGTGAGGCAAGTCCGAATCCTTTTGCTTTTGTGACATGGTTGTAGATTGCATCTATCAACTATTTAGGTGCGAACATGTCCAGGTGAAATGTTGCAAACCAGGGCTTCGCAATCGGTTTACAACGACGGTTCGCGACAAGGGGCAGCTGCAACCTCAGCTTTGACGCGTAAGCAGGCCACAGCAAATACCCGGGCGGCACAGCCGCATCACATGGATACCTTCGTGCCTACCACCCTGGTAGGAAAAAGCACCTAGGTAGATAGGTACACGTCAAGCTGCACCTTGCACATCTGCAAATCCAGTGGCCGGAATGCAAGCCTGAGGAAGACCTGAAAAGGCAACACCAGATGAGATCTGAAAGCACAAAATGAAAACTGGGACGGGGCCAAGCCGCAGCCACCAGACCCGCTACCCCACAAGAAATAGCGTCATTGTTCTGGATCAGCAGCATTTGGGGTCCCCGCTGCGGGCGGAAGCTCTCCCCACCCAAACTCAATCAGCAGCCATCCCCACCATATAAACCGCGAAGCAACCTAACCAGCCAGTGCCAGTCAGTACCTATCTCTTACGTAGCAGCCTCAAAAAACACGAAAAAAAAAGGCTCCCGCCAAGATGGGGGGCAAGAGCTCGCCAGTAGAGAAGCGCATATCCTTTGAAGACGGCCATTCCAGCGCCAGCGACGAGGATCAAAAGGCTGTAGAGGTACTTACTGCCTGCCCCTGCTGCCAGGCCGGCTGTCGGCGAGTCCGAGAAGAGTACTCCCCTCTCCGCTGACCCTCGAGTGGTAGGTTCTGTTCGATCCGACCAACCCGTACCGACGTAAGAGCTCGCTCGTGGCGGCGGACGCGACACCACACAGACCGCGCAGATCTCAGCCACAGCCCCTGCCCCACGACAGGGCCCAGTGCATCGTCCATCAGCTCTTCGAGGGCCAGCGGAGGGCCAGCGTGGACAATCACCACCCCCACCGCCACGACCGCGACCATGGGCATGCCCACGGCATCGATGCCTCGGAGGAGCGGGGGTTGAATCGCATTGTGGAGCCCAAGGGCGGCGGCGGCGGCGGCGGCGGCGGCGGCGAGGGCGGCCCTGGCCATGTCACGCCTCGAAACGGTGCTGCTTCCAGTGCCAGCGCCAGCTATAAGCGCCGTCTAGACTTCCTCGAGGTCCCCAGCGACAGCAGCGACGCCGGTCAGGTCGACGAGAAGCACTGGCAGCAGGGCATCTCCCAGTCCAAGTCCGAGATGGACATCGCGTCGCAGCACGAGGCCCTTCACAGCCGCCTCCTGACCAAGAAGCAGCTGAGCGAGATGGCATGGGGCGTCCGCGAGCTCAGCAGGCGTCTCGGCAGCATGCGCCTCAAGTTCAAGGTCAAGACCATCTTTCTGCTCACCAAAATCTATGATGAAGACCTGATCCCCAAGACCCGCGACCTCACCCGCTGGCTCCTGGACAAGGACCGCGACGTGAGGTACACTGTCTACGTCGAGCGGTCGCTCAAGGACAACAGCCTGTTTGATGCCCCTGGCCTCCTGGAAAACTTGCAGAAAGAATACAACTCCACCGGAGATCCCGCCGACGAGGAGGCCGGTGCCAATCTGTCGCGTCGGCTGAGGTACTGGGACCAGGAGATATGTCAAACCCGGCCCCATACCTTCGACTTTGTCATCACGCTCGGTGGCGATGGTACCGTCCTTTACGCCAGCTGGCTCTTCCAGCGCATTGTGCCACCCGTCTTGAGCTTTGCCCTCGGCAGCCTCGGCTTCCTCACCAAGTTTGACTTTGACGAATACAAGGAGACCCTGACGACAGCATTCAACCACGGTGTCACTGTGGGTCTGAGGCTCCGGTTCGAAGGCACCATCATGAGGAGTCAGAAGAAGAAAAAGAAGCCAGTCCTGACTGCGCCCGAGACAGGAGATGCCGAGTCCGTCCAGGACGAGCCCAAGCCTGATCTGGTGGAAGAGCTAATAGGCGAGGAGAAGGAGGATGAGCACACACACAGGCCCGATGGCACATACGAAATACTAAACGAGATTGTCATCGACCGCGGGCCAAACCCAAGTGAGAAAGACAGCACCCCCTTTTTATGCATCCCCGGGCCTTTGGGCGGATGGCATACTGTCGGCTCGGCGTGGAAGGAATCAAGGTTGCTAACGTGATGCTTTGGGCCTTCAGCCATGTCATATCTAGAGATATTCGGCGACGACGAGCACTTCACATCCGTCCTAGCGGATGGTATATGTGTGTCGACACCTACAGGCTCTACAGCCTACAACCTAGCCGCAGGTGGCTCGCTCTGCCACCCAGAGAACCCGGTGATGCTGGTGACGGCCATCTGCGCGCATACGCTCTCCTTCCGACCCATCATCCTGCCCGACACCATTGTGCTGCGCGTGGGCGTGCCCTACTGTGCCCGGACGGGCTCGTGGGCCAGCTTCGACGGCCGCGAGCGCATCGAGCTCCACGCGGGCGACTACGTAACCATCAGCGCCAGCAGGTACCCCTTCGCCTCGGTCCAGGCGCCCGGCCGCCGCAGCGAGGACTGGGTCAACAGCATCAGCGGCAAGCTCGGATGGAACACGCGACAGAAGCAAAAGGCGTACAGCAAGTGGGATGCCTGAACGCGCGTACGCCCACGCAGACGAGCCGATGCCCACGTAACGCACGGCGTAAACGAGACAGGTGTCTTGTAAGAATAGACCTAGTACCTACCCCGTCCATCGCCTTCCCGCAACTCAACCATGTACATAGAGCATAGATAATGAACAAGAGTCAGGTTTCATCCGTGGCGCTTGCTCGGGCTGGGTTTTTTTTTGTGTTTTTTTTGTGAAAGGCGTGCATGTGTACATACGTCCGGACCTTGCACATGGTCCATGATCCCGTCATTGCCGCCAAGTCACAAGGCCCATCGCGAGAAACAGGCGAAACGTGGTGTGGGGAAACCTCGATTTCTGGCTACGAGACGCGCCCGGAAAAGGAATTCGTAACCCGCGCTTGATTTCTCTCCTTCCCTTCTGGGAACAGGCATTGCCTAACCCCCCTTCGGCTATGGCTAGACTCCTCCTTCCGCCGAAGGCCGCGTCGAGGCCAATATGGGGCCAGACCAGGCCCGGCCGGGATCGTCGAACTGATCGGCGCCGCGTCGCAAAGCCCTCGCCCTCTAGCTTGCTCGCTCTACTTCCCCGACGCCTAGCAAAAAAAAAAAAAAAAAATAGAAGAAAAAAGAGCAGGAAAAAGAAATCTGGTCTTGACTGCCAAGCGAACTTTATCATGCCACCCAACCCTCCTACCAGGCCACTGGCGCCGTGCCATCCCGAGTCCGACGTTTCCTAGGGAGCCAGACGTCGGCGCCAAGCGTCTGGGCCACGTCACCCGTCTCCTGGGATATGGTTGTGGTGGTGGTGGTGGTGGTGGTGGTACAGCGGGAGGAGGAAGCTCAAGCCGAGATTTCTCTTCCGTCCAATAACTACCACCACCACCACCACCACCACCACCACCCCACTTGCTTCAACGTCCTGGGTTCCCTCTCCCCGGCGGGAGGTCTGTTTTGGAAGTAGGCAAGACAAGGCGCGCGTGCAGGTGCAAGCCTCGTTGGAAAGTCGATGCAAGGGATGGGCGCGCGAGGCTGAGACGTGACGTGACCTGACCGAGACGTAGCCGCTGTCACAGGGAAGGACCGTCCAGCCACGGCACGGCGGCCGCGCCCTCCCCTTCTTTTGCCCCCCGACTTGCCGTCTTGATTGCAAATTCAGTTCGTTGCCGGTTTTCCCCATGTCAGGTATGGTGGCGCCCCCCTGTCACTTTGGCGTAGCGTGCCCGGGAAGTTTGCCTCTTGGTGTCCCATCTCATCCCACTTGGCTTGAGGGTGGGGGGGCGCATTCGTCTTCTCTCACTGAATGCTCTTGCACAAGACTCGGTATCCCAAATGTTCTTTTTAAAGCCCGTATTGAAAAAATGCTCCTCCGCTGGTGTAAAACAAGCAACCGGGACCAAAGGGAGAAGCGTGACAGAATAAAAGCAAAGCAGGAGAACCCCCAGATAAAACCCTCAAAAGTCATTACGCCACGCCTTCTATTTGTACATTACTGGTGTCGAGACCCGCTGACCACCCATCCATTCCCACGGATCTTTCCACCTCGTCAGCCCAACATTATTCGTGTGAGCGTGACGGGTTCTGGGTCGAGCGAAAGCGCCCTGAAGCCGCAAATCTCCTCGTCGGTGTATCGTGGACGAAGGCATAAGGTGGCGCGGCGGGCGCATTTCACCCATGGGAACGCTGGGGTGGGGGTTTTGATTTTTTTTTTTTATGTCCCCCATATGACAACAGGGAGCCTCTTGCGCTGCAGAGGCCCCCAGCCGAAATAGCCCTTCCCGGTAGGCCTCTCATTCGTCGTCGACAGTCTCGACAAACGTCATGGTAAGCCCCTTGTCGCCGTCAACGTTCAGGTTGACGGCATCGAGAGCGTCACTCCTAGAGGAGAACTTCGGGGCAGAGACGGCAGCGACGGGGACGGCGCGGCGGGCCAGCTCAGGAGAGTTCTGCATGGCTACGAGTCCCGAAAAAAAGTTAGCACAAGTTATTTTTATAGAAGCTCGCGGCTCAGGGTCACCCTATGGTGTGTGGGGGCTCCACTACTCACAGGCCGGGATGCCAGACCGAACGAACATGGTGGTGACCTTGACCCTCTGGCCGCTTCCAACAACATCGCGCCGGACCTTGGCCTTGCCGCCCTCGCGGGCGGGAGGAGCCTTCTCAGCCTTCTCAGCCTCGCCCTTGCCGGGGCGGGCAGCGGCCACCTGGTTGTTGTCAACG